CCATTAGACATCCTGCCCCAATACACTTCATTTAATATTGTACATATTGTCTCACCTTGTAATTATCATATTACTGTTTCCTTGACCCTTATCTATTAGACATCTTGCCCCAATACACTTCATTTAATATTGTACATATTGTCTCACCTTGTAATTATCGTATTACTGTTTCCTTGACCCTTATTCATTAGACATCCTGCCCCAATACACTTCATTTAATATTGTACATATTGTCTCACCTTGTAATTATCATATTACTGTTTCCTTGACCCTTATCTATTAGACATCTTGCCCCAATACACTTCATTTAATATTGTACATATTGTCTCACCTTGTAATTATTATCATATTACTGTTTCCTTGACCCTTATCCATTAGACATCTTGCCCCAATACACTTCATTTAATCTCAGAGTGGGTTGAGAACCGTGGAAACAACAGTTTTCATAAGTCCCGAAAGAGAATGAATGCATAAATATTTGAACTAACAGGAGTCAAGTGACTTATTGCCAATTCCAATTGAACATGTTGAATGAGCTTGAAAGGGGACAACCTAATCCTGAGAAATGCGATCTAAATTCAAGGAATATATAAATAGAGCATTATGAGACAACAGTGGCATACAAAAAGAAAGCATGATATGAAATTAAGCAACCTTTTATCACATATTAGTCTACACTTACACTACAATTTTGATCTTTGTTAGCGAGCTTTGTATCAAACTAGCCTCTCAGTCAAATGAATGGCATCGATGCAGGACTATGGTTGGTCAATCTATCCAAACTGGGGCTACCAAATCTGTAAGAAAATGTGCAATTAAGTCAGAAAGGGGATAAAACATTGTACTTAGAATAAGACAAAATGATCTTATTCTACATATCTAATTGAATTTTCAGTCTGATAGATATATAATAAAGCAATTAAAAAACTGGTCTCAAGCATATATTACCTTGGTTTGCTAAATAACCCCAACAGCATGCATGCTATAGAAGACTATTGTTATCTTGTTCATTCATTCCATACTCTGAAAATATTAAGGTAAGAGTGTAAATTGTGCACTGAATCTATCCTTTCACACACATTATTTTATCATTTAACAGAATATCCCCTGGGAGTACACTACCAATGCAAAGAAAGCTGACATCGTATTTATAACCAAATTCCCCAAGAATATCTTGATTATAGCACAGTAGAACAAATACTGTGCGCTTATATTGATTTTTCCTTAAAATTGGCTGGCCTTAAGTGCTTAAATATCCCCCGATAGAACATCAATCTCTATATTTCCTTCCCAAAATTCAATTTCAATTATTCTCTAAAATATTCAAATTTAATCTCAAATTAAAGCTCAGTTGACTTTTTATAAAAAGGATTTTCAAAATAAGGCCCATGGGCCTTTAATACAAAGTAAAACAACAAAAAAGGCTTAAAACTTACTTTTATGGCCATGGCCATGTACATGTAAATAGGCCTTATTGGGCCATGGTAAGAGAAAAACAGCTATCAAAGCATCTAATCTTCAAAATCCCTAACCATCCAGGTTTCATTTTCGGCTAGATCCAAACACTGGACATCAAGTTCTTCAATTTGGCTGTAGCTGCGAAGGATTTAAATTAAAATGAGATAAAATACAAGGTATTAACATGCAAAATGTCACCACCTGCCATTTGTTACAGATGCTGACTGCCAAACGCTGACCACCGAACACCAACAACCATCCACATTTAGGTTTCTTCTGCTATTAAATGACCCTTCCCCAACTTTCTGTAAGAGAAAGTCCCATTTGACTGATACGCTCAACTTATATTTATTTACAAATTACTTATCCATCAAAACAGTTTGGAATTTACATTCCAATAATTTCCTGTCAAAATTGGTTTTATATTGGCTGCAATAAGGCCATTACAAATTGAATTTCCAGTGCAAATGCCCTTACAAATTACTTGCCTAGAGGCTCTTATAAAATTGTCCATTTAATGTACCCTTACAAATAATTGTTCCAAGTGCCCTTACAAACAGTTTAAAGGGGCCTTAAAAATTAGTTGAACCAATTAGTTACAAGATGTTAGTTGTTCCAACATTGAAAGTTGAAAAAGGCCAACTCGGTCTTTTAAAAATCTCCTTGGATTTGAGACATGTCTTCTTGCAATTTAAGAGTATGCCATTTTTCCGAAGATTCATGCTTAAAGTGAGAGACCTGGCCAAAATAATATTTCAAGTTGCCAAACTTATATATTCCTCAGTGTATTGAAATATTGACATATTTGTTCTAATTATACATATATCATGGTCATATGAGATCCAGGAATTCGAAATCAAATAGAATTGAGTTCATATTCAGAATTCCAATTGCAGGTTCAAGGCAGACAATAGTCAACCTAAAGGTATTCAAGGTATCATTGCTGGATACATAAATAATGCAATAGTTGGATCTACTCAATCGTATAATTGCAGCACACACGTACAGTACAATTTTGCAAGATCAGCTTATCATTCCTTTCTAAGCTACATTGTGATCCATGGAACCATTTATGAATCTACTCATGGTGCTATGAATGCTGGATAGTACCATTACTGGATCTATTCATGGTACCATTCTTATCCACTCATTCATGATTACATTCACATTCATGGATCCACTGGGCACATTTTTGAGTATATCATGGTACCATTTAATGAATCCCCTTATGGTGCATAGGGAGATATGCTGAGTCCTAAAATAGTAATTGCATTTTTGCATTAAATGAGTACTTGTATGATTGTACCATTTCATGAATCCACTCATGGTACCACATCATGAATCTGCTCATGGTACCACATCATCAATCCACCCATGGTACCATTTCAAGAATCCGATCATGTTACCACTTCATGAATCCGCTCATGGTACCACATCATGAATCCACTCATGGTACCTTTTCATGAAATGACTCCTACCATTTCAAGAATCCGCTCATGGTACCACTTCATGAATCCACTCATGGTACCACATCATGAATCCACCCATGGTACCATTTCAAGAATCCAATCATGTTACCACTTCAAGAATCCGCCATGGTACCACATCATGAATCCACTCATGGTACCTTTTCAAGAATCCGCTCATGGTACCACTTCATGAATACACTCATGGTACCACTTCATGAATCCGCACATGGTACCATTTCATGAATCAAATCATGTTACCACTTCAAGAATCTGTTCATGGTACCACTTCATGAATCCACTCATGGTACCACTTCATGAATCCGCTCATGGTACCATTTCATGAATCCACTCATGGTACCATTTCAGGAATCCACTCATGGTACCATTTCATGAATCCACTCATGGTACCATTTTATGAATCCACTCATGGTACCATTTCATGAATCCACTCATGGTACCATTTCATGAATCCCCGCATGGTACCACTTCATGAATCCACTCATGGTACCACTTCATGAATCCGCTCATGGTACCATTTCAGGAATCCACTCATGGTACCATTTCATGAATCCACTCATGGTACCATTTCAGGAATCCACTCATGGTACCATTTCATGAATCCACTCATCCACTTAAATAGCAGCAAACTAACACTTCCTTCCATGCTAAATACACTTGCTATTTCAATGATTTACACCCCCTCGATAAGTTGGCAAATGGGAGAGCCTATTGGAAAGTGTTAGGTCAGGAATTTAACTGGCTTAGCACATGCTTCAAAATGGGACTTCCACTTTCCAAGCTTTTAGGAGGGATGTACTAAATGTGGTATTTATAATTCATGATGGTCAACTGACAAATGTAATGTAAAATAATCTAAAACTGATTACTTTTACAATTTTGGGAAGCACATTTGAATAATAGACAAACTTCACAATAAAGACCTTTGCATGCAACATAGTTCATCAAAGGCATTAACATGCAAAATGTCACCACCTTCCATTTGTTACAGACACAAAACCCCAACTGCAGGCTGTCACCAAAAAAAGTTGGAGAGTATAACAATATGTCAACACTGTGGTTGTGACATAATTTTTTATAAACTGCAAAATTATAATAATTTATAAATCTATACTATGTTTGAGAAATGCCGAGTTGCCCTTGAATGTTCAAAATTAGGCCCATGGGGCTCTATAAAGAGAGGAAGAATCAAACAGTTATCAAAGTGACAAAATCAAAGTGACATAAAATGAAAAAATGTTCTTAATAATGATGGAATCTTTGATCTCTTTGGTAACCATGTACAATAAAGCAAGGGTTGCGCCATATCGGCATATACATCAACTCTATTTCTGCAGAAATAATACTAAAGATATGTAATATTGTAAAAGTCCTATAGTTCGATTTTATTAAAGTACAAATATACAACAAAACAATGGTTAGAGTTACACAGCATGTTTAATTCATTACGAAGCATTCTGATAAAAAACCTTTGAAACAAGGGATATTTGAGGAGTTAAACAGGCGAAAAATCCTCCATTATGAAGCCTTTTTTTCTAAATACTTCTTAATGATGCAATTTTACCTTGCTGTGTAACATGCACCAATGAAGCTATCAATTAGCTACAATACTAGCCTATATCTAGTGATGACATCTAACTATCAAAAGCTTTGCTCAACCTTAGAGTTGTTTCTACCATTCTGGTTTCAAAATATCATCTGGCTTTCAATTACAATTACAATTTTCAAAAAATATCTTTAAACATTTTTAGCCGACAAACTTTGAAAATGATGTCCAATATTCGTAAAAAAAAACAAAAATTTCTCTTGCCTGATCTCTTTCATTTGTCTTATCTTGCTATTTTATGATCCTGATTATTCTCTTGTTTGGCTCATTTTAATTGCAAGAGTAATTTACTTTCCCAATGCAGTCGCAGTGATCTCCAGAGGATTTGTGGGTGCAAAATTCTCATTTTCACAATTCATACCAAAATTGGTCATAATATGACATTTTTCATGATTTTTCTCATTTTCAAGTGGGTGCAAGACTTTTTTCAAAATCTCAAGTGGGTCATGCGCCCACTTGCTTTAATGCTAGGGTAGATCACTGAGTTGGATAAAATATTTTTCCAGACTTTCAGACCAATGTTTACATCTTGTCACTATCGAATCCTGTCCCACTTCCATATTGTTGCATCGTCACAAACACACAACAGAGTGCTCCCATCTTTATTAAAATGTGTCTGGCGAACAGGCATTGTACATTTTCCGTGAGTGAGTGATGTGCATCTCACCAGCGAGGGATCATCGACGTCTAAATCCCACACGAATACCTTGCCATATTGGTTCCCGAGGGCCAGGCAGCGTTGGAAAAAGTCCATGGAGAACCGCATGTACCAAATATCGCACTCCTTATAGTCAAATTTGTGCAAGATGGTTACTTTCGAGTTGGATGCAGAGAATTTATCATCATTCAGTTCACCTGGTTTCCAGCATATGATGCAGTTCTCGCACGATTTTGACAAAATGAAATCTCCGTACCACTTACAGCAATCGACATAATTTCGGTGAATATCCCTCGTTGAGAAATCGGGATAATGGTGAGCAACGATAGGAAACGGCTTATCAGATTTCTCATCATTGTATGTATATGATTTCTTAATCACTTCTGTGATGTAATCTTTATCGATGCACCATATCTTAAGTGAATGATCCATGCCGCAAGATACAATTTTATTGCCTTCGAGGTTGAAATCAGCACTTAGTACTTCGTCTCGGTGCCCATCGACTCCACCTAACACAGCTATACAGATATCTGTTTTCACGTTCCACAACCTCAGAGCGTGGTCTTTACTTACTGAAAGTAAAATGTTTGGTTCACGGGGATGGAACTTCAATTCATTTACAGCATTTCCGTGACCACCAAAATTTTTTATACACTGAGATGTAGAAGGGCTTATAAGACGTATAATGCCTCTTGCACCAGCTACAGCTAATAAAGGCTGTCCCGTCACATCCTCGCTGGTCCAGGCACAGGTATAGAAACTCTCTTCAGAATCGGCGTCGCAATATGCCTGGAGGAGCTTAACACTGCCATCTATTGAACATTCATAAATTGTCACCCGATTTCCGCCAACTGTCGCAAAAATCTCCCGGTCTTTGTTATTGATATTCCAGTTGAACTGCACACTGAATATTGGTTGTCCATGGTCTTCTTTAAGAAACTGGCTTAACTTGTAATTTTTTTTCGGGTTTTTGTATTTTCCTCGACCGCGACCTTTTCTTGGACCATATTGAGTCGGTGTTCCACTTCTTGACGTGTCATCAACAAAAGTGCTGCAAAAACTGGATATTTCATCATCATCTTCGATGGAGGAATCCTCTTTAGATGCTGGGTCAATTACTTCCATGCTGGAATGCTAGACCTGGAAATACAAGTGAAATACCAAGTTTTAACAGTGGATGTGTCTAAGGAAGAAATAGACTCTAGAGGTAATACGTTTGTCGAATTTTGTTTTGAGATTCAAGCACCACAAGACCATTTAGCAGCATCATAGCGCACAATAGGATACAAACAAACAAAGAGATTTGGCATTGAATCAATTTTTTACATATTCTTCAGATTTCTCAGCAACTAGTCACTTAAGTCTAGTGGGTGGATTGCTCCACCCACTTAAAAGCCTCAGATGTTCACATTTTATTTAGCTCTCGGGAAATGAATGAACAAACATTCCATTTTCACACATGTTCGGTAATATAACATATCATAACTTCCGGAAATGACAAGCCGGTCGGAAAATTTTGGGGAATTTTTCAGATCGTTTACATTTCTTGTATAACTGTACTTCTACATCTACATCAATAATCCGCAAAAGGCTATTTAAAGCAGATATATAGTTTAACAGTGATATAATTTGAATAAAATACAATTTGAACCTTAGCATTTAAAAAATAGATCTATGGTTTACAACTCATTTTAAAATGTTCACTGAAATCATGAAACACTTCTCCACTTAGGAGGCATCTTCCCCAAGGTCGATGCTCCCGTTCATAGAAAAGTAGGCCATATTCAATAATCATTTGTAAAGGACAATAACTACATTTAAGAATTTACCATAGACCTATTGCTACTTATTGTTGATCGGACGGAAAGATGAGCTGATGTAGTAACATTTGGAAGGCATGTGAGGGTCCGATTCATCAGGTAACACATATGTCGAAGTTAAGTTCTTGCCTTTTTAACACTGTAACAAGGAGTAGGCCTATGAACTTTTCATTGGGGTTTGTGTAAAAAACCGGGTGACCGGGTGCTTAACGTTCCTAGCAGGGTTAGGAATTTTTCTTATTTATAACGTTGGATCTGGACGATACATGTACGTCATTTTCAATGTCACGTTTTGAGGTTATTTCACATCGTAAGAACGATTTGACAACGTTAACTTTTAACTTTAAAATAACGTCGGTAATGAACCGATTTGGCGAGAACATATTGACGTCTTTGTAATGTTTCCTTAACTCACAAACATTTTGAAGCCATTTCCACAATGTTGAAATTCAACGATCCATCGACGTTTTGCTGAATATTTAAATAACGTAAGATCAATATGGTCCATGAACGTCATTATTGACATCACGTTTTGAGGTTATTTCAAATCGAAAAAAACATTTCGACAATGTTAAATTTTAACGTTAACACTACGCCGGAAATGAACTGACTTAGTGAGAACACAAAGTTTTTGTCATGTTTTTTTCCCACCAACAAATAGTTTGATATTAAAGCCTGTTTTGACAACGTTGAATTTTAACATTCGAGTTACGTCAAATATGGACCTATGTAGTAAAAAATCATTATGTTTTCCACACTAACGAACTTTACGGACATGTTACAACAACGTTCTTTTTATACCATCAATAGATGTCTCATTTTTACGTTGCCTCGATGTGTAAAGAACGAAAGTGTGCAACGTCTTCTAGGAACTTATATGCTATTTCTGAGCAACGTGACATGGACGTCACTGTTTGCTGGATCGATAATTTTAAAAAGTGCTCTGTCTCATATAGGGTAAAAATATCGAACAGCAGTGCACTCAGTAGGCTAAGTCTGTCAAGTCAATAAGCTACTATATATTGGGGGAAATGTGGAACTTTGAAAGTTGGTAACCCTGCTAGGAACGTTAGGTACCCGGTCGACCAACACTAGAAGTCAGTCTGTTATGATAACCTCCATAAATGTGGGGTTATTTTGAGTTTTTTTGATATTTAGGACATTTGTTTCTCAAAATAACCCCACAAAGTTAAGGCTTTGATTCTTTGCGTTTTTTTTACATGATTTGAAGATTCAAGTTCTGACAATATCTGCAGTTTCCTTACCTTTTTTCTTCTCTTCTGTGAAGAAGATTCTTTTTCCAATTTAATGAGCGATCGATCAGTCGAAACAATGCTTTATAACTGGAACAATTTGCTGTAATATTTGACTCTCGAAATCTATTCAAATGTTGGCCATTTTCGCGCGTTGCATTTTGGGAGGAATTATGTGGTAGATGGGAAACTTAACAGTGCCAAACGAAATCACCTGTTAAATTAATAACATTAATTATTGCTTATGCCGAAGTTCAGGAAAACAAAGGCCGTAGACGGTACAGCGGCCAAACTTGAAGCCTTAACTTTGTGGGGTTATTTTGAGTAACAAATGTCCTAAATATCAAAAATCCTCAAAATAACCCCACATTTATGGGGGTAGTTATGATCTACTACTTTCCTGTGGAAATTGCAGTGAAATTTTTTGCACAAAATTATCAATTAGAGGAACCATTTCTTCAATAAAATAAACATTACAAAATTTCAATTAAGTAGTAAGGTACAATAAATGCAATAAAAAGTATATTGTCAAGCACGGACATCTAATACATTCTTCGAACTGCCCTGGAATTATATCAATACCATCCCAGACAATCTCCTTTCGCCAGAAACATTCTCTCTGACTGTGTTGTCAAGTGGAAATAAAGCTAGTTGAAGTAACAAATGTGCAAATTAATTTTACCCAATCGGCCATTTTGAATAGCACTTCCTATGTAAACAAATATTGAAAATTACCAAACATTAACATAGTTGCCTTATAGTCTGAATATAATTCAGACTAAATAGGATATAGTTTACTGAACACAGCTGGCTCAAAAGCCAGCTGACACACCGTTAGAATATATCGGCTTGTGAAGCGTTTTTCCCCAACTTCCAGCTGGTGCGCTGGCATAAGTAACGGCATGGGCTTTCAATAGAAGGGTAGGCAACTTCCCATATTTCATACATAAGCATTGTCTTGGGTTTTCAAAATTGGAGAAGAAATGCTTCCTGTGCCAGCGGTGGCGGTAGGCATATATTTTTGTGAGTCATCATGACTCAGGTAGTTTCAAAAAAGTGAGTCACAAGAAAAAAAGTTGAGTCAAAGCTATAAAAGTGTTTTTCTTGAGTAAAAATGCATACAAAATGTAGAAACCACATACAAAATCTATTTTTTGATTTTGTGCATACCTTTTATTGTACTCTTATAGCACATTAACAACTAACAATTAATTAATTAGGCAATTGCAAGAAAAATGTCACTATTAATCATCTGATTATCTGGTCCAGCGAGTCATGGGTGTGAATTGAGTGGGAGAGGAGTTTCTCCCTGTGTGGAGTTACACAAATTGGGGTCAAAGCGTTTCATGTTGAAATTAAACATTTTTGCAATCATTCCAAAGTCTAAAACGGCAATATAAGTCCGACCACAATACTGGGCATCATTTAAATTGAATACGGTAGAATCTTGTAATTATAGCTGATCAAATGAAACCGAAAGTAGATTTGTTTTCATACCTAATTTATCATCATTACCCCCCTTAATGTGCGATCGACTGGATTGTCATGTGCCCATTATCTATCTTCATAGGATCAGCTTCAGATCTAAGTGAATCGAAGATCTTAACTTGAGGGAGTTAATTGAAAATACTTGGTGAAAACTTACGATAGATCGGTCACTGTGAGCACCATTGATAAACCTACTGCGCATTACATCTGCGCATGCTGATGAAGGGGACGGCTCAAGGAAACTTGCTAACTTAGCGAAGGAATTTTGCGAACTTGCGAAGGAAACTAAAGGTTCGTAAATCTAGCGTGTGAACATTCAAGGGAAGATTTTATGCAGTAATTTAGATAAATATACGATCACTAAAATCCTTAGAAGGGAGTATGAACTTAATAAATTATTGTTCAATGTTATGTTCGTTTTATTGCATTTTTGATACGCCCCCTAGCAACGTGCTTCACGAGATAAACAAATCGAGGGATCGATCAATGTTTTCAAGTTTATCATTGAATCTGAATCACAGGGCTTTAAAAATTATATGAAATACCGAAATGAGAAAATGATCGGTAGGAAGGTATCAATCAATTGATCAATCACGTATTTTCACGTATAGGGATCAATTTAACCAAGTACCAAGCGGGGATTTTGCATGTGAAACAAACGTGCGTCAGAAAGACTCGGTAGACAATGAATATTTGCGTCAGAGTTGCAAAAATGTGAGTAAAAAACGTAAAAAATTGCGTTAACGCCACCTCTGCTGTGCACATTCCAAGGAAAATCTTGTTTTGTGCTATTCATGTATTTTTTAAGAAACAACCCAAAAATAAAAAACATGATTATCTGCATACATGTTGATAATATAATAGAAAATGGAATTCATCATAATTATGGCAATAATGAAACTAAACATTTCTCCACAAATTATATTATTATTGGAATGTGTTCTTGAATAAATACCCACAATGCAACACTCAGATGGAATATTTTGATACCTCTTTTCCTTATTGGTCTTTTTTGTTAACTTTTACATGAGATTAATCATGTTTCACGTTTTAATCATATTCAAAATTGATTTTTCTTCAAGATAATGCTAAAAACATATACTTTAATCTATATCTTTTTGAAATATGACCAAAAAGGGGAAGCATGGCACCGCTCACTTTGAAGTTCTCATGTAATAACACAGAGTTGCATACCCTTCTATTGAATGCCCATGGTAACGGTATTTAGGAAGATAATTGAATATTACTTGCCCTTTTTTTGACGCGTGGTGTCAACAAGTCCTATTTGTTGTGTAATTTGCAGTTAAATTAGAGAAATTTCTGTTCCCGCTCGCACCATCTTTTAATTTTTTGCGCATGCGCTCATAAACTTCTCTTCATTGCAATGCCAACGGAACTTCCCAGAGCTGACTTCTGTCAGCACGGTAGAGTAAGATATAGTCTAGGTTACCCGGTCACCCGGTTTTTTACACAAACCCTTTTCAAAAATTTCATTGAAACAACAATGTTGTGCTGAATATTTTGTGCTCGTTTATGGTGGTAATACTTTCTAGCTTACCGTCTCTATTTCTGTTGATAGGCCTAGGTGTGAAGTCGAAGTGGAGTGTTCTTTAAAATGGCATAATTTACTATTTATGAGATTAGACTCAAAATAAAGGAGGTAGTTTCAAAATTCACGCTTTTTCCACCGGAAACAGATTCTATCCATGACGCACCACAACGACGGTCACTAAATCATTATCAGATCAGTTTAAGAGACCAAGTTTACCAGTTTTCAAATGAATTGTGGGTATTGGAATTATTATTTAGATTATATTTAATATTTATCTATTAACACACCAATTATATACCTTACTAGCTAAGAAGCTCTTAAATGAACAAACATATTGATTTTATTGAGTTGCAAGATGACCAGTCCCCAAAACCGGAAGTAAACATAAATTTGACATTTTGGAGGAGGATGTAATTTTATTTCTCTTTTTCATTGTTATGTAGGATAATACGTAGTCAATATAGAGCAACTGCAATGACAAGACGGGTATGATGCATCGAGGGAGATCATCAGGGAGCACAGTGTCCTCAAGTGACACTTGGGCGTCTGACGTCAGTGAGAGAAGCCTGGTTGATGATTCCGACACGTTATGGATGAATGACAGCAGCTGTGTCAAACTTAAATTTTCAGAGGAATCCAATGAGGATTCTTCAAGAGCTAGTGAACCAAGTATGTCTTATTGAATAAGTAATTCTTTAGCTAACACGTTGAGCTTATGCAGTCTCGTGCTGTCATCTGTTGGGGACTCTGTCCTTTAACAACTTTCGGACAAATGAAAATTCCTATTTCTCTGAATTTGTTATGTTCAAAACATCACATATTTTTAAGATCTGCCTGCATCGTACATTCTGCTCTGGGAAATTTTGGTGATGTTTCCTCCTGAATCTCAATTAGTACTCATGGCATTTTAGTGCCAATTGAGTACTCATCTCAGTAAATACCAGTACTAAATGAGCACTCATACTTTGACTACCGATTCATTGAAGTACTAAATTGGTACTTATGAGTGATGAAATAGTACTCGTCCCATTGATTTATGCGCACTAAATAAGTACTCTGAATTTAACATACCATTACTACAGTATGTTAGTACTCTGAGAACTCTCAGTATAACTAATTGAGTAATCGGCATATCTTCCTGTGTTGTAATTCATCTCTACTTTATAACAGGCAATCTGCAAATCATTAATGGCTCCTTTATACCATGTTATCCTAGAGAATGGTACAATTTCATGACTTCACATGCTTTTCTTATTTTCAACTGAATATTAGCAAGCACCGACTCAGTACTGGGAGGTCACTCAATTTCCTTCAAAACAAATGTCAATCTTATTATGATCTTTTCATCTAAAATTTGTCTTTCCCTCTTAATAAATGGATCCATGAGCATTCATAGAGGTGCTGAGATATTGTAACAATACAATGTACTGTGAAAATTCAAGGTCTTTATGTACAAAAGTGTAAGCTGCCTTAAATGTTAAACAGTTTTCAATGAAAAAACTATAATAATCTGATGTTATCAAACCATTCATGTAAATACGTCACACATGACCACCCTTAATATTCAGGTGACTCATACACATAATATATATCTCAGTATCTAACCAGCTAGATAGCAATACAGTAGTACACAGAAAACCCAGGCATCTTCTGTTACATTATCATCACCACCAGGATCTACTACCAAACATTACCAGTTTATGGAATATTAAAAAAGCGCTAATTAAATGTTAAACACTTTTCATTTAAGAAATGCTAATTAAATTTTAAACACTTTTCATTAAGAAATGCTAATTAAATGTTAAACACTTTTCATTTAAGAAATGCTACCCTTAAGAAAAAAGCCATGGTAACCATGGTATTCCATGGTGCATCCATGGTAATCCATGGTTTTCCATGGAAATTCATGGTTTTTCATGGTATTTTCCATGGAAATTCATGGATACCCATGGTAATCTTCCATGGATATTTACCATGATTTTCCGTGGTAATTAGTGGTTTGGTTATTGTTTTTTCATGGACATGCCATGTTTTTACCATGACGCTTGAGTTGTAAAATCAACAATTTTGGCATGCTTTGTTTTTACCAAAATCTTCAAAATTGAATCAATACTTTAACGAATGAATGCAAGCTGGATTGAGACTAATCATAGAGAGAAGAATATGAGGCCCCTCCCCCTCAAATTTTTGAGAAAGTCAACCTTCATGACAAAAGCTGGTTTCAGGCCTGAAATACAACCATGTTTTTACAATCTGAATATATGTTTAGTACATTCTGTACATAGTGTCATATGACAAAGAACTTTTTACTTAATATTTTTTTAATTGATGATTTGACCCCACAATTACAAGTAATAATTTGTTTGGTGGGATTTGCTATCATTTAACTTTGGCACTGATGTTAAAAGACAAAATAAGTGATAAAATCAGCTCACTGGATGCCCTCATTGCAGACTGAATTAAACATTTTTACTTGGAGTAAATCCTATTTGGTTTTATTTGATCAACAATGAGTTTTTGACTTGCACTGTCTACACTCACTGACAATAATAATTACTGAAGAGGGAGCATTAGAAAGAGTAAGATTATCATATATAATAACAATTAAGATCAGAATATTTAAGAATTATGCAAATGAACTATTATAATCTGTTGCAAAGAGACTAATTTTTTAACATTAATTTGAGAGATAATATTCTTATAAAGGTTGAATGGGACTTATTTTGGAGAAGTTCATTTAGAAACATAATGTTTTATTCTTTTTTCTGCATCCAAAAGACCAAACAAATAGCCCATGGAAAACCATGGACTTTCAAAAGATCAAAAGAATAATCATGGAAAACCATGGCTTTTGATTGCACTTTCCGAAACATCAAAGAAATAACCATGGAAAAGCATGGCTTTCGATTGCAATCAACCGACTTCCATGGCTTTTGATTGCAGTTTCCTCAACTTCAAAGAAAGAAACCATGGTTTTTGATTGTATTCTCAAATGTACAAAATGTAATTTAAGAAAATTTATTTATTAAATTATTTCATATTGATTTTTAAAACTGAAAATTAAAGAAAGTATTGAAATAAAACAGAGCTTGGGCTAGTTTGACTTATTTTTTTTCAAAGGAAAGAAGTGTTTGGCCTAAAAAATAAGCAATTTCTATCTAGTCTTGATCTTCACAAAAGCCCTTTGCACAATTGTTTTTGAAATCTTGTGGCCTACTCTGTGCTGCATTAACTGCACTATCATATTTCTATATAAAAAATTATATAATTTTCACATATTTGGAAGCTGAGTTTAACATTCAATGAACGTTCTTGCTAAACCTAAAAATGAAATGTCCACCCTTTTCCTACCAAAATTGTTGATTTTACATCTCCATGTGTCATGGTAAAAGCCATGACACATCCATTAAAAAACAATTATCAAACCACCAATTACCACGGAAAATCATGGTAAATATCCATGGAAGATTACCATGGGCGTCCATGAATTTCCATGGAAATTAACATGGAAAACCATGAATTTCCATGGAAAACCATGGATTACCATGGACGCACCATGGAAAACCATGGTTACCATGGCTTTTTTCTTAAGGGTAATTAAATGTTAAAGACTTTTCATTTAAGAAATGCTAATTAAATGTTAAAACTTTTCATTTAAGAAATGCTAATTAAATGTTAAACACTTTTCATTTAAGAAATGTTAATTAAATGTTAAACACTTTTCATTTAAGAAATGCTAATTAAATGTTAAACACTTTTCATGGAAGAAATGCTAATTAAATGTTAAACAATTTCCATTGAAGAAACGCTACTTAAATACGTTTAACGCTAATTAAATGTTAAACACTTTTCATTTAAGAAATGTTAAATAAATGTCAAACACTTTTCATTTAACAAACGCTTATTAAATACTTTTAATGCTAATTAAATGTTAAACACTTTTCATTTAATAAACACTAATTAAATACTTTTAATGCTAATTAAATGTTAAGCACTTTTCATGGAAGAAATGTTAATTAAATGTTAAATACTTTTCATTGAAGAAACCCCTCCCCCTGTGATGCCTCCCTCTTACCGGAATGCTGGACGTCAAGCACAAGTTACATTTGAAATTGTTGCAGCTAATACAGTGAAAGAAGGGCCTGCAAAGTTTGTTGTAAGTACAACTCTTTTGTTTGAAGACTATTGGAGACTTATCAGAATGCAAAGTTCAAAATCAACTATCCAATCAGTGATCTCCCCAGCATTAAAAGCAAGTGGGCACAGCACCCACCTGAGATTTTGAAAATAGGCTTGCAATCATGTGAAAATCCATTTGCACCCACTTGAAAATGAGGAAAATAATGAAAAATTGGCATAGTTTGACCAATTTTGGTCTGAATTGTGAAAATGAGAATTTTGCACCCACTTGAGAAGGTATCCTTGGGAGATCACTGCCAATCTGTATTGACAGGACTTGAAGTGCAACTGCCAATCTGTATTGACAGGACTTGAAGTGCAACTGCCAATCTGTATTGACAGGACTTGAAGTGCAACTGCCAATCTGTATTGACAGAACTTGAAGTGCAACTGCCAATCTGTATTGACAGGACTTGAAATGCAACACATCCATTTTCATGTTAGATTCTAATATAAAACCATAGAAACCTCTCTTATCTGAACACCTCTCAATCTGAACGCTACATTTCTTGGTCCCGAATAGACTAGATGCGAGTAGAAATGATCTTGATTTACGTCATTAAATATTCAAAATTCAGTCAAAGTGATGTCATATTTGAAATCTACATGTAAAAATACATGCAAAAATATGGTTTCGAAAATTGTTTATCAACTTTGAAAATTTAATCTTCTTTGAAAATGTGACTTCTAGTTCGGGTTGATTCACCATAGACCCCATATTACAAAATCACAAAAAGTGAAATATCTTTTCTTGTATTGGACATATAACATTTTATTTGACTGGACATACTTTAATTTGCATAACTATTTGGTACATAAGGGCTATAATGAAAATTGAACCACTAAAACAGATGTAATTTAAGTAAAATGAAACTTTCAACTATACCCGCCATGCTATCTGACCCGAGCGAGCCACCTGGTGGTGAAACTGGTAATTACTACTCGCATTTGCGTTGTCATCCCTCATTGACTCCCATATTAAGAAACCTTGAAATGTGTACACCTGCTAACCTGGACAATTTTGCTGGTCCCAGTTGATAAGACAGGTTTCACTGTATTTTTGATGTAATTTAGGCTAAGTCTTATCAGATTAAAATCGAATATTACAAGTGCCTAGCGACATAGCGAGTAATCTAATTTTCAGAGGGTATGGTATCTCTGGGTTTCAATATCTCTCCCTTGGATTTACAAATGTATGATAGTGAAATTTAATTACTGGTACAGTAGAAATATTTAAAATGGACACCTTTGTAATTAGAACACCTCCATAAATGGACCTCGTCCTGTTACCTATTAACTTCATGTTAAATGAACCTCTGTAACTAAAGCACCTCCCAAATGGAAAACTTTCATGAACTACTACCAAATCTCTGTAACTAGAACACCTCCCAAATGGAAAACTTTCATGAAGTACTACCAAATCTCTGTAACTAAAGCACCTCCCAAATGGAAAACTTTTATGAGGTTCTACCAAATCTCTGTGACTAAAACACCTCCCAAATGGAAAACTTTCATGAACTACTACCAAATCTCTGTAACTAGAACACCTCCCAAATGGAAAACTTTCATGAAGTACTACCAAATCTCTGTAACTAAAACACCTCCCAAATGGAAAACTTTTATGAGGTACTACCAAATCTCTGTAACTAAAACACCTCCCAAATGGAAAACTTTCATGAAGTACTACCAAATCTCTGTAACTAAAACACCTCCCAAATGGAAAACTTTCACGAAGTACTACCAAATCTCTGTAACTAAAACACCTCCCAAATGGAAAACTTTTATGAGGTACTACGAAAGGTGTTCCTCTTACACAGGTTTTACTGAACTTGTATGTATACTGGGACATATACAGTACTTATTCTCTTTTATTTTCAGCTTTATACTGTGTTAGTTGTACGCTCTCCAGGGATTGACACTGTTGAAGCCAGTGTTGAACGTCGTTATTCAGACTTTGCGAAGCTGAACAAGACCCTCATCAAGCAATTTCCACATCTTATGAAAGATGTAGCATTTCCAAAGAAAATGCTTACTGGAAATTTTAAGACTGAAACCATTGCTGAGAGAAGTCGAGGTTTCGAGCAATATCTAGGACACATTTATCGTATATCAGAAATTCGGGAATCGCTTCAACTTGCCAGTTTTTTCTATGAATCAGATCTTAAGAGTGCGTATAACTACCTGCGTGATGAACGCTATGGTGATGCGTTACCATGGTTAATACATGCAGAACAGTTACAAGAACGATTACAAGGATTAAATAACCCAAGCGTCACATTGAGTTTATGTGCCTTAGTCGTATGTTACCACAAAACTGAACAATTTACAAGTGCTCAGGAATACGCTGATTTAGCCCTTCGTAGTCTCGGTGAGAAAGATGAGAGCCCTCTATTGGTGCCCTTATTAAATATAAGTATCAGATTGTGCTGGAGTCTGGGAATGGAGAAGTCAGACTTGGAAGAGAGACTTGGGCGCCTAAGGGCCAAGGGAATTGAGGTTGAAAGGGCTTTAGAACTGAAAGATGTTGTTATGAAATTATGTAAATTGAACTAAGAGTTGAAGTTGATAGGGTTTCAGAACTGAAAGGTGTTGTTATGGAATTATGTAAACTTAACTAAGAGTTGAAGTTGATAGGGTTTCAGAACTGAAAGGTGTTGTTATGGAATTATGTAAATTGAACTAAGAGTTGAAGTTGATAGGGTTTCAGAACAGAAAGATGTTGTTATGGAATTATGTAAATTGAACTAAGAGTTGAAGTTGATAGGGTTTCAGAACTGAAAGGTGTTGTTATGGAATTATGTAAATTGAACTAAGAGTTGAAGTTGATAGGGTTTCAGAACTGAAAGGTGTTGTTATGGAATTATGTAAATTTAACTAAGAGTTGAAGTTGATAGGGTTTCAGAACTGAAAGATGTTGTAATGAAATTATTTAAAATGAACTAGAGTTAAAGTTGATAGGGTTTCAGAACTGAAAGATGCTGTAATGAAATTATTTAAGTTGAACTAAAGTTGAAGTTGATTTGGTTTCAGAACTGAAGGATGTTTGGCATGGAATTATGTAAATTTAACTAGAGTTGCAGAAAGTTGGGGTTGATATGGCTTCTGAAAGAACTGAAAGGTTTTAAATAAAATTATGAAAATTGTAGTAGAGAATGCCAGCGATTTTCTCAGTATTCTTTGGACATGGTGCTACCTTTAAATTCAGTTTAGAATTTTAACATTTGTGACTGAACATATACAATGTGTGTTAATTTAGCTCAGAAGATTAGACGAGGCTACCATTCTCATTTAAAAATCAAATCAATCGAGGATATCAAAGGTAGGCTTGGACTTTATTGATATTAGTCAAGAATTTGGAAAATCATAAAAAATTGTGTTTTTCGACGATGAGTTCTAGACATTGTTGCTTTGTTAAAATTGGTAACATAAAAGTAGGGCTATACCTAGAGTTGAGTAAAATTCCTAAGGGATCAATGAAATGGGTTTCATAAATAATGTGGCATAACTTGTCTAATACTGACTTGTTCTAAACTCCATTTCCTGTAAATACTGTACTATACTCAGCCAGTCCATTTCTTGTGCCCCCTTAACACTGTGATTGAAGTAAAAATGAAATGAACAGTAAAACACATTATATTATTAATAAACGTATTTTTGTGAGGAAAAATGTTCACTTCATTTTAATAAGAGGTTAGGTTAACCCTCTAAACTAAAAGCTTATTAAGAATAAAATATTTACATTTAATAATGCTCATACCTCAAAAGGATATTATAAAAGTGGCAATAAAGACAAAAGCAATGAATATTATTAAAGTGCCAATAAAGACAAAAGCAATGAATATTATTAAAGTGTCAATAAAGACAAAAGCAATGAATATTATTAAAGTGGCAATAAAGACAAAAGCAATGAATATTATTAAAGTGGCAATAAAGACAAAAGCAATGAATATTATTAAAGTGGCAAATAAGACAAAAGCAATGAATATTATTAAAGTGGCAAATAAGACAAAAGCAATGAATATTATTAAAGTGACAATAAAGACAAAAGCAATGAATATTATTAAAGTGGCAATAAAGACAAAAGCAATGAATATTATTAAAGTGGCAAATAAGACAAAAGCAATGAATATTATTAAAGTGGCAATAAAGACAAAAGCAATGAATATTATTAAAGTGGCAATAAAGACAAAAGCAATGAATATTATTAAAATGGCAATAAAGACCAAAGCAATGAATATTATTAAAGTGCCAATAAAGACAAAAGCAATGAATATTGTTAAAGTGGCAATAAACATTAGACAATATATTATGTTGAAAAAAGGTGCTTACAGTATACAGCAAAAAAAATCACACAGATGTCAAGAAGTCAAAAAAGAGAAAACCATTTTGCAAAGCAAAAATGTTCACTCAAGGGAGGTGTTCACTCGTGAAAGGTGTTCTTCACTAACAAAGGTTTTACTGTGATATGTTCGCAATACAGTATGAATGTTCACCATGTTAATATTGTATTATACAAATACCACAATGTTTATTGTTTATGTTATTATGTTACCACCAGAAGTTATGACATATTTTTATAGTATTCAACTGTTTTTGGACAGTGTTCCACATTGGGCAGTTCGTGTTCAGCAGTTGTTTGGCATCTGTAACAATTGGTAGGTGGTGACATTTTGCATGTTAATGTGGTGTATTAGGTTGCCATAAATGTATTATTATTTTGCCATGTACAGTATATAAAGTTTTATCAAAATGTTTAGTTTTCATCTTAACTGATATAATTATGCAGTGTTATAGGATAGCCAACTGTGTTACCATACTGTATGCTGTTACCATACTGTATGATGTTACCATACTGTATGCTGTTACCATACTGTATGATGTTACCATACTGTATAATGTTACCATACTGTATGCTGTTACCATACTGTAAGCTGTTACCATCATGTACAGGGTTACCACCATATATATTGTTACCACAATCTGTAGTGGTACCACTATAATATTGATATGTATAGCAGGGGTTGCACTAGAATTTCTCACAACAGGCTAAATAAATGAAAACATAAGGCAAAGTTAATGATATCATGAATTTAACATGAAAAGTTAAAGCCCCTAAAAACTACAGGCGATTTTGTGAGAACAACCGGTGAAAATCACCTGTTGCCTGCTGCTAATGAAACCCCTGGTATAGCATGTTACCACTTTGAAAGTTTTCTTATGCACATTGTATTGTGCTTCTATCATGTTTTGTTGTTACCACTATGTATACTGTCACAGCATCATGTAATGTTACCACTATGAATATTGATGCTATTATCATGTGTAGTAAAATCACTACTAGTATGTACATTGAGTCATTGATACGTATTGTTAACAATTTGTATGTTGCTAACCCATATGTAATATTGTTACCACCATACGTAGCAATACAAAACATGATTGTAGTTATGGACAGACAGTGTCCATAAAGGTTTTTTACACAGACTTTGTATTAAAATTGTAAAGACACTTTATTGATACCCTGTATACATGTACAGGGTGTTCAGGAAATAAAGATAATAATGTCATAACATTATTTGTCCATGGATTGCATTGCAGAGATTACAGTTTTAACATATTTTAACTTATTATTGGGGTTTCAGCTTCAGGTGATTTGATTAGTTGATTCTGTTGTTGTCATAGCAACACAAGTAGCGCTAAGGCGGGGCAGGTGGAATAACTGCAGTATATTTGCATGTTTTAAATGTTTTAAAAAGAGATTCTATCATGTTTATGACTTAAAATGGATGCTTAAAGATAGTTATAATTATAAGCCTGAAATTCGATGCCAATTTATCAATTTATTCTACATAATTTCCTCCATTTTAGACACAAACTCTTTGCCTCTTGAACCTTCTTCAAACACTTCACAGAATTATTCTTGACTCATTTCCTGAAGTCTGTTTAACACATGTGAACGTATGGCATGAGTATTCTCAAATGCATGTCCTCTTAAGTCCCGTTTTGATTCAGCGAAGAAGTATAAATCATTTGGCGCTAGGTTGGGTGAATAAGGTGGATGCTTGAGTTGCTCTATTCTCAGCTGCTCAATTTTTTAATGATTATGGCAGCAGCATGGGATGGGGAATTGTCCAAGTGGAAGAGAAATTGCATCCCGGGTCGCTTTCTATGTAATGCCTGCATTAAGTAATGAAAATCCCATTGAATATCATTAAAAAGCATTTCTTTGACTTTAATATCATAAAACAAAACAATAGAAGAAATGACAAATCAAATTGCTAGAAGCTAAAACTCCAAAGGTAAGTTCAAATATGTCAAAACTATAATCCCTGCAAATATTGAAATCCATCAATAAATAAAAAAGTTATTATTAAAGACATTATTATCTTTATTTCCTGAACACCAGGTATATATTATGTATTATAAAAAGGACAAATGCAATACTGATCTGCTATGCAATGATATTCACTTTCCTCCAATCAGAACTCCCCATTTGGGGAATTTAACATAAACATACACAATATCCAAAAATGGGAATTCAGGTTGCCAATTTTATTGAGGGGAGTGTATATAATAAATTATATAATTGATATACAATTTATGCCATTTAATATATACAATAGTACATAGGCCTATATACATGTAGTTTTTAATTTCAATGTCACCACCTATAAGCTGTCACATATTGTTATGGTATTCAAATTTTTGTGGATGGTGGTTGGTGTTTGGCATTTGGCACTCGGTGTTTGTTGTAACAAATAGCATGTGATGAGATTATTCATGTTAATGCCTTGTCCTCAAATTGCAATATAAGTATCTGCTCAATATGTAAACTTGTGTCATGTTTGTTTTGATGGCCTTCAGGACTGTTTATAGATGGCGAAAAATTCAGTGGGTTTAATACCATACTTTAACATGTAAAAATTGCTCCAAAAATCTCCCAATATAAATGTGATTGAAAATATCCAAAACCTTTTGTTTTGAATCTTAAAACATGTTTGTAAATAATAATGAAGGAAAATATGATATTTGTTTGATATGTGTAGTGAATTTGAAGTTTTAAAACAGCAATATTTACACACAAACCAATGGGTAGTTAACACACAAACCTAGTAGTTAACTGCCATCTCTACGAGTCCTGGGTCCAATTGAACATTAATTGTTGAATGCAATATTCATCAAATTGATGATGTGACATTGTCTACACTCCCTCCATAAGTCTGGAAACTGAAAGTCCAAAAACGTAACATTCATGCTTGAATACTAATTGTGTTCTTCAAGTACAAAAGGTTGGAAAATAGTAAATGTATTTTTTAAAGATTGCCAAACGTAATCAGGTGTTCAAAAGACCTGGTCAAAAACGGGTACTTACAGTTGCCAACGTTTTGGTGAGGAGTGTATCGGTTTACCAGTTTTTTTTTATTAAATTTGAAGTGAATTGAGTCAAACATGTTTACATTGTTCAATTTTACTAGTATACAGAAGTAGTATTATCTTTAGGTAGTAAATTTTAATACGTTGAGGCTAAAATAAATAAATTAAATGTTTTGGTTAACTTCCCATATTTAGTTTCATTTATTTTAAGACCCGTAAGATCTTACCCTATGCAATCGAGATGAAGCCCGTGAAACGTTACTTTAATTTACATCCGTGCTTTTTGAAGACAGTCGTTTTGTTCTGAAAATGTTGAATTAATTTGAAATGATTTGTATGTCTTTCTCAAGAACAGGGTGTCAAAAACAATAGCACCCTCTCTACAGCAAAACCACTGTGTAATATCTCATTTGAAAGATATTATTCCGTACCGGGATGTTACTCAAATTTTCAATTAATGTCAAAAGACCTACTGAAGTAAAGAAAAAAAGTAAAGAAAAATTTTCAAGGTTGAAGGTCAAGGTTATCAAATTATGTCAAAAACGATTTTATCTAATATAAGTTTCTCAAAATTCGAGATTACAAATGAATTATTGTCATCAAAATTTCAGAAAACCGCTGATCTGTTCAAGTTGAAATGTTTACAGATGCAAGAACAGACTAGTGCTAAGATCTGATTAGGATTTGGGCATGCTGGGTAAATTACACGGTGACTATTTTGCTCTTCAAAATGCGATATTTATCACTGTGTCTTGTTACTCTCACTTTTAATCATTACGCGTATTGGTGTATATTAGAGAGGTTTCGCAAAACGTTTTTTAGCTCCACGGATCCGTATCCGTAACGTATTTATCAGAATTATGCGTAGTCAGTTCAGTTTATACGTGAAATGATACGGAAAACACGAAAAATGAGGCTTTTGTACGTTGGTCATTTACGTATCCGATTTTACCCTTCGATTATATTGTTTTTAGCTCTAAAGGTATCACTATATGAACAAGCACAGTGTGCTGTGTATAATTTGACTAAAATTTGGTGAATGAATTTGTTTATTGTTTGAAATAAATCGAGTTTTTCAAATGGTATGTTCAATTCATTTTACACTGTATGGAATGGTATTGCAATAATTACAATGTACATGTTTCGCACAACGTTTTAGCTACCCGTATCAAAATCCGTATCGCATCGATTGAGTAAAAGTGTACTCAATACGTTTGTGATACCAACAGCAATACCGAAAGTACGTAAACTAACACTTTCTGTGCGTAGTTGTCTCCGTATCTATTTTGTCCTTCAAATCTTGATAAATTTTTCCCTAAATGTATAATTTTAGTAACACACATATGTTATCATGTGTGTCGTGCTAATTTTGATGAAATAATAGCCTTATCTGCCGATATATTTGATTATAAGCGATGTGCCTGCAATTTTTACAAATAAAGCTTTAGTCACATTTGCTAATAGGCAGATGTAAGGTCTATCGTTTCTGGGGCCAATAGTAATACCGTAGTCAATTACTTAGGGACATCAAACCAATGGTTAGCAGCTAGGCCACCTGAATATATATTTTGTGCCTTAAGTCACGCCCCGAATTCATATAGAGCAGGGTCTTGGGCTTAGTTTGAATATAGTAGCTTGTTCCTGACCTCGACAATGAATGTGATATTGGGTCTAAAGATGGCGCCCCGGATCACTCTTGCCCGTATCCAGCTTGTGGCAAGGGGGGTGCATTTTTGGCTTAAAACTCCCGAGAAGTGCTCAGTATGATGAAAAACTGAATGATTTTGAAAAAAATTCTAGCCAGGTAGCTTCTTCCCGTTGACTTGAACACGCATCAAGTCATGCGATCTATGTCAAATAGTAAGCGGCCTCGTTTGGGGGTCCAGGGAGACTAGTGCCCTAAAGTTTAGTGCCCAAGCTTCCCCGAACCACCGTCAGTGATTATGTAACAGGTAGAGTATATTTCTTTGATCCCAGGATGATGATATTGGCGTATCATTTCCTATTTTCATTTTTGTAAAGACAGGCCTGACATCCAGATCCTGTAACGGATCTTCTCTCTTACATATGAGTCACGGTAGGGGCCCCAGATGTTCCTAACTCTTGGGTAGTGGTCCATGATGTGTTCTTCATTAGCAGCCTTGTGATGATAGGGAAGGGGGGGGGGTGTAATTCAAGTACATATTCAGTAGATATGGGGTTGTCCCCGATTGTTTTGTGCGATTGTCTCCAGTTGGAATAACTTAGTTGAGTAAATCGTTATCAACGTTTCGTTGTGGTTTATTGGTTGTGCCTGATTGTGTTTTGATGGGTTGAGTAAATCGATTGAGTATTTGACTAAGCCTGGTTGTGTAATGGTGGGTTAGTGTCAAGTAGGTATAGGTTTTGCCGAAATGTGTTGTGTACGTTTGAGACTAGGTTCTCTTTTGATGGTTGTTAGTCTGGTGATTTAGTATCGGGTTGTGTCCCATTGTGTTATGTTAGTCTCATAATGGGTTGTTTTCTCTTGTGAATATGTTCTGTTGGTTGGCTAACTGGTTGTGGCTAGTCGGGTGAGGTATCTTGTTTTGTCTGATTGTGTTGTAGAATTGGCGTTGTCTCCAATTGGGTTAAGTTAGTTGTGTATCTCGGTATTACAATTATAATGTGTTTTTTTGCCTGTGCCTGATTTTGTTTTGATTGTTTGGTTTTGGGTTTTGAAAAATTGTTGTGTTACTTGAACAATGGGCTGTGTTTGCTTTTGTTGGTTTAACATTGGGTTGTGCCAAATTGTGTGTTGATAATTTCACAGTTCGATGTGTTTTCATGGTTGTTAGTTTAGTTGTGTTTTATTGGTTGTGCCTGATTGTGTTTCTATTGTTTAGTGTTGGATTGTGCACAATTGTGTTGAGTTAATTCAACAATTGGTTGTGTTTGTCTTTGTTGTCTTATTATTGGGTTGTGACATATTGTGTTAATCTGACAGTTGGTTGTGTTTTGGTGGTGGTAAGTCAGGTTGCGCCATGCTGGCTTTGGTGCTGGGTCAGAGGCGTAGCTAGCCCATTTTGCGAGTGTACGCCCGTATGATTTCCCGGTTTTATCAAAATTAACAAAACGATGGTTCCATAAAATAGGAAGATCCCGGGTGTTCAGAAGATAGGGGACACACTAAACACTCTTAATTCAATGAAGGAAATATGTATTGTTTGATCATTTTGACATAGCTTTTTAAAGGGATTGAATTAACTGTATTAACAGATAATATTCGGGAAACAAAATAGACAGATTCTATATAATCATGCCATCGGCGATCGAAGCCGTCTATCAAGGCGATTTTACTTTTTAGGCTACCTAAAACTGTATGTACGAGGCTCATTGTTTTAAGCTTTTGTGGTCATTCTCCATGAAATTTTATTATTTTTCTGTGTTTGTTTTTATCTAGCTCACAAGATGATTAACAATAAAAGAACAGTTACACGACCGTCTCAACTCCATTTCGGATCTTAACAATCTGTACGTGATTCTATAGAATAAATTCTATCTTTCTGGTTTTTGCATTTGCGAACATGTCAATAACAGTATCAATGTTTATATCCTGTTCCCTATGGATATGTATCATGGCCAAGGAAGAAGGTCTTTCCTCGTTCATTGTGGAACGCAAGTATGACTTAATGCGTTTCAAACTGCTAAAGCTTCGTTCAGCCACGCAAGTGGATACTGGCAATGTTAGCAGCTGGACCAAACACGTGTAGACATCGGGGTAAAGAGGCTGGGGGGTCTGTTGATTAGTCTCCTATCGATTCTATCTCTTGGTAAAATATTTATTTTTTATCAATTAATCAGGTAAATTTTATTTTTCCTTAAAATTTGAGAGTACGCCTGGGCGTACTTGGCGTACACGTAGCTACGCCACTGTGGGTTATGCTATATTGCGTTCTGAGTATTTTGACACTTGGTTATGTTCTATTGTACTGTTGCATGATTGGTGATCTAGGTTGTGTTTGGTTGTAATAGGTTATATATGTCGAGTTGTGGGCTGTGTCCGATCAGGTTGTGGTGTTTATTGGGATAAGAAACAAATGGCCGGTTTAGGGTATTATGTTGTTGGTTTATCAGTTGATTCTATGTAGACCCCAAAGGGGATATAGGGTATTATGATGGTGAGATATTCAACTGGCATGGTAGGCGTTAGCTTCGCGTCGTTCTCTGATGAGTTGGTCCCCTGTTGTTCAATGAATTCAAGAAAAACAATGCTAATTTATCTTTTTACATAATATATTTTTTGTTGATTTCTCATACAAAACATACTTTTATTGCATAACTGATATATTTGTGTCGCTTTCTATGATCAAATATGTTACTTTGTTCCCCTCCTTAGTTTATATGAGGCATGGGTTTTCAACTAAAGCCCATGTATGAGGAAAGGGGGGTGGCTTATGTGAAAACGTATGGTTTCCGAATGCCTTGGCCTTGCCCAAGTCGCTATTTTTTTTGATCTTGAATTATGACCAAAATATACAGCTGCAAAAACATGAAATTAAAGGTCCATGTGCAGTATGGCAAATGATTTTAGAAATGTTTACGCATTTTGTGGCATAATGCAGTCACTGCACGTCACTTAATGACCACTATTCAGCCTATCTGTTTTCAAACCCTTAAATATTCCCAAAGGTATAATTTGACACTGAATTGGTTATCGTAAACCGAGAAATAATCTTTTCTGGCCTAAGGGATATTAATCATTTTGAAATTGATGTCATGAAATTAATAAATGACACCTTAGGAATGAAAGGGTTAATATGTATTTTTGCACTCACCAAAAATACTTTTGGAGTTGTGATTCTGAAAGCTGACACTCCCAATGGTGTTTTGAAATTAGTGCAGATGAAGCCTTTTATTTGACCCTAGTTTTCAGGACTATTAAACACGGATTGAGATGCGTTTATAATTACGTAATTCAAAAAACGAACTGCGAAACGAAAATTATCGAAATACGTATCCGTAAACGTAACGAGATACGGATGCGGATACGTTATAGCTTATTCGTTTTGCGAAACCTCTCTATTGTTCCTACGTCACTGTATTATCCTTTTCGCTGTAGAGGGGGATGCCGTTGTTTTTTGACACCCTGTGTCTATAAAGCAAATAATAACGAATCTATCATACGTATATCCATAATATGCTAATAAGTTTTCCAGGTAGTCTTACATCGCCATACACACGTCCCATTCTCTTGAAGTTCCCAAGGAATCCAGGTCCCATGCAAACGGCAGCCAATAGGGTGTATTGTAATAGGGTGTATTACCAATACGTTGTATTGTAAACAAGGACGATCTTCTGAAAAAAATCTTAAATATTTTTTACTTTTTCTTCTTTATAGGAAATATTCTTGCATTTATTGTTGAATATATATTTTCTAGAGTAAAACAAATATGGTTTCCTCCGTCCATTATGTGACAGCTATGTTACTATAAAGAAATTGTGACACATTGTTTGATTTCACCATCTGTAACAATTGTTACAATTTTATAATTGGCAATAAATTGAGAAATAACTGGACAATGTCAGTTACTGGTAACATCTTACATTTCTTAAACTTGTTAAAAATCTGAAAAATTAACACCCGATGAATCGGAGCAAATGTGATCCAGGCATACATCGGCATATTGGTAATAATGTTTATGAACATCATATAAATAATATAATAATGCTGATATATCTAAAGCCCTCGGGATTATGATGCGAAACTTACATTAACGATTTGCTTGCATGAATTGAACTTTGTTCAGTTCTTGCATTATTTAATAAAAAAAATCAGTCTTATTTTGATACAGTAAGTAATCTATAGTAAAAGACACTCAGTATTGCCTGGGTCACATTTTCTCCGATCCATCGGCCGGCGTCCGGCCGATTGAATATTTTGTTCAATATTGTATATTCAGATGTGAAGAAAATACTCAACCGGTTGGGCGCCGGGTTGAAGATCGGAGCACACTACGCATTTACATGTTAAACAAACTCATTCCAAGGGTATTTCAATTATTTTCTGAACTCAGTAATCTTGTGAAGGGTGAATAGGCAGGCCATGCGATACAATGAATTGACGATATGCCAGAAATATTGGTTCTACAAACTCTGCGTGACATGGCAGGCGATTATAATAGGGACGATACATGTGATATCGTGGGTAACCCCGGTTTAACACAGGGTGAGCCAAACCCCCAAAAAAGGTATACCAAAAAATCTCAATAACACAGTCCAGTATGGGTTTAACTCTCAAGTCATAGATTATTGGCAAACTGGATTTCAGCATGTTTTTTCTCTTAAAAGCCCAAAATTCTAGCTAGTGTACTGGATATACGAATTACTTTCTTCTCTTATACTTAGTCCAATGGATCGGCCCCTAATTGGGACATTTTAGACACGCCTTCAGTGAACCGCGAACAAATTCTCGGGGAATACTCACTGCCATATAAAGATATTTCGACAGTGTATAACACGTAGCAGGCCTTTGATAGACTGTAGATCGGGTAAGTACACAAATAGGGCAAAGCACGATGCCGTAATATCAAAGAGAATTTCTTATTCAGTTACACAAAGATGCATCAAGGATGCTTTCCAGAAAAAAGCAAGTACACCTAGTCTATATCCAATAGACTGAATTTCCTGAGAATTCAGTCTGAATATTTTCATTCCAAATTTCAAAAAAATTTCAGACTAGAGGTCGTCGTACACTAGAGGTCGTCGTACACCCATGTTTTCATACTTTATTGAAAATACAGCACAGGCATGCACTTTTAGGTCAGGGTGCATGTCGGGAAATTTTCGTCATTCCTCAATTGAGTCGCATGTTATTTTTCAAATTTGAATCACTCCTTCCCCACATTGTCTACAACTTAGTTTTGCACAAAGAGTGCACTATATGTGCCTAGAAAAGACTGGCGAGAAGATTTGTATTGTAAAATGTATAAAAAACAGGAAAATTCAGTGAAAAAAAATTCTGAAAATTTTCTGATTTTTTTTAAGGTCAGGGTGCATGATGGGAAATTTTCTGCATTTCTCAATTAAGTCACATGTTATTTTTCAAACAAGAATCACTCCTTCCCAAGAGAATCTATATCTTCCAGGTTTGCACAAATAGAGATCTTATGTGCCTAGAAAAGACTTGTGAGAAGAATGTTTTGATAAAGTGTATAAAAAACAAGAAAATTCAGTGAAAAAATTCAGAAATTCTTTTCACTGAATTTTCTCGTTTTTTATGCATTTTACAAAACAAATCTTCTCACAAGGCTTTTCTAGGCACATAAGTGCACTCTTTGTGCAAACCTGGAAGATGTAGACAATGTGGGGAAGGAGTTATTCTTGTTTGAAAAATAACATGTGACTCAATTGAGTAATGCTGAAAATTTCCCAACATGCACCCTGTCCTTAAGGTGCAATGGTACTTAAGGTGCTATGGAAGTTAACAGGAAATGACAAAACAGGAAGTGACAATTTTTTTTGCATTTTTAGATATTTTTTGAATAAAGATAAAAAAGTTCTGGTTTGACCTCCAGTTAATTTAACTATTTCCACATATCATTTACATGACCAGGATCACAATGTGCATGGTCAGAATGACCCTAAACATGATGAAATAACCTTTTTAGCCCTTTGAAAGTGTGACTGAAAAAAAGCTAAAAGTAGGAGCGTAGGGAAGGTCACTGAACAGAATCTTTTGAATTTTTCAGAAAATGTGCCCAATATATTGCTCTAAATGATACAATCTTTGAAAATTTGATATCATTCATAGAAAAAGAAAAAAAAATGAAAAAACTGATTTGAAAAGCGATCTATTTTCCTTTTTATGACCGCCATTTTTGTTTGAGACAATTTTCTAAAATTTCGAAGATTGTACTAGTTAGAGCATTATATTGGGCACATTTTCTGAAAAATTCAAAAGATTCTGTTCAGTGACTATCCCTACGCTCCTACTTTTAGCTTTTTTTCAGTCACACTTTCAAAGGGCTAAAAAGGTTATTTCATCATGTTTAGGGTCATTCTGACCATGCACATTGTGATCCTGGTCATGTAAATGATATGTGGAAATAGTTAAATTGACTGGAGGTCAAACCAGAACTCTGTTATCTTTATTCCAAAAATATCTAAAAATGCAAAAAAAATTGTCACTTCCTGTTTTGTCATTTCCTGTTAACTTCCATAGCACCTTAACAGGAAATGACAAAACAGGAAGTGACAATACCATGCTTGATTTCAAACATTTTTTGAACCAAGATAACAGAGTTCTGCTTTCATTCTAAGGATTTTCAAAATGGCTGACATCACTTATTTCATGCTGAAAATTGCATAAAAGTTCCATTTATGCACAACGCCTGATCCTTATCTAGTTAGGATAAATATAGATGTTTCTATTTTTACATTCAATTTGGTCATTTGATTGCTTATTTTTTAAATTCAAAGTACTCCCAAACATTAATGATTTGACTGTGGTAGTTTCATGAAGTTCGTAAACAGATCCCAAACGGTTCTTAGTGGGTTCGTCAAATCCGTTCGTGCTCAGTTTAAGCCAGTTTTCGAGAACGTAGTGAGAACTAGTTTGGTGTGATAGTAGGGTAAACGGACTTGAGGTCAAAACAGAACTCTTTATTTTTTTAAAAAATGTCCAAAAATGAATGATGTTTAATGTTTTGCTACTTCCTGTTTTGTCACTTCCTGTTAAGTACTACGGCACCTTAATAATCTAGGTACAATCAGAGAGGTTAAGCTACACGTATTTAACAAAACTTGAACGTGAACCTAAATGCGCGCGCAGATAAATGACGTCAGATTTGTTTATTTCCTGTGGCCAGCGTGAAGTTTACAGGTTTTTACATGAGATTATCATATTCGTGCAATTTACAGACGCGTATTCAACAAAGCATGAACGTGTACTTCTATGCGCACGCAGGAAAATGACGTCAGATTAGTCTACTTTCTACAGGTAAGCGTGAAAGTTACAGGTTTTTACGAGTAGATGAGTGATTACACGTCGCTCATTACTTGATTGATTTTAGCTATGTTCTAGGATGGCCCTGGAGCCCATATTTGATACAGAAAATTTTGCTTGTTATATTGGTAAACCCCAATCCTTAATTGGAAATAAGAATACATTTTAATGGGTAAATGACGACTTCAAATGTGATCGTTTGTTTATTCCGTACAATATAAATTGGCAAGACCAATTTGATGCCCGGGGCTTAGTACAATATGTATACTAAACGAAATGAAATGACAACCAGGGCAAGAAAGGATCTAGTGCGCCCTCCATTATGATCTCCCAATGAACAAAAATAAATTCATCTGATTTTTCAAAAGAAATATACTGCTTTTATTATTACATTTATATGTACACTAGTATCTTGTTGACCTATATTCAGCACTGTATTGATGAGTGGGCCATTTATTAGGGCCAATTTTCAATCATTAAGTGTACAGGGGTAGAGATGCCAAACCATGGAGTCTTTTTGTGTCTGTCAAAATCCATTTTCATCCTACACATCCCTACATCTTATCCAAATATGTTATTAATTAATGAAACATAACAGTATAATCTTTGTATTTACAAAGTTGTATGGGATTTCATAAGTGTAAAAGTTGCTTTTGAAGCATTTTTCTATAGCCATTTTGTTGGAAAAAATGATGAAAAATGTATTATCTTTTAATTTGAAGTTTGACCTTAATCGATTGCAAACTTTATTTTTGCACATCTGATGTGATATACCATTTGTGTCATATTGTGAAATTATTTAATTTGCAATCGATTCAGGTCATATTGTATTTTAGGTGTATTTGGGAAAATCAATAGAAACCAATGGCCTCCATCGGAATCTGATGGTATCCACATGTTAAGTTAATAGAACACATCCAATGTGAAGTCAATATACCCTTGCTGAACTTAATGACCTCAACCTCCGCCAATGTGGGTCCAACGCTTAAATGTTTTCCAAAGTATTATGTGACATTGTATTCTTTATGTTACAGTTAAAAATCATTCATTTTGTTCATGGGGAAATCATAATGGAAAGTGCACTAGACCCTTTAATTGTGGTTGAATATGAAATAACTCAAAAATAAAAAACAAAATGTTTTATTGCGACTAGAATCGAACCAGGGCCTAACGGACATACGTGAAGTGCTAGATTGCCGAACTGCTATCCATTACACCATAGAGACAGGACCTTTGGACATAGTCACCACATAAATATAGCTCCACGTCCACTGACATGGTTTCAGACGTGTAGCTTAACGGAAAGTTTTCTTAAACGTGTACTTGAGCGTGGACTTACGCGTTCAGGTTCACGGTTTGCATGAATACGTGTAGCTAGAATGAAAGAGTAGATGTGTGGAATCTGTTATGTTTATCTGCACATTGTCATGAAATTTCAAGTGCACCCTGACCATAAACCACACTAGCTAGTGCTACTAAATATTCTAGGTTTGTACAAAAAGTAATTTCGGTGACCTACATTGTTTTACAGAGGACCAACGATGAAAGTTCCACAATTGACATGGACGTTTGCCGTGGCTTTATTCGGTATCTCTATACACCACTATATAGATGTCGCTAAAGGTAAGACTAAGAAGTTACATTTATTCTGATTCTAACAGTTTGCCGTCAGGGAGCCTAATTAGTACAATTAAATTATAATTTAATTAGCCTAATTCAATGGAATAATGAAGTCCCAGTTACCTCGTGACCTTGACACCAGTCATGCGATCTTTGTCCAGGGGAAGGATCATTCCTATTTCATTTATTCTATACTTTCATATGTACTACTCCCATATGTACTACTCCCCTCAACAAACTGTTTCACAAATCCAATTATTGCATAATTATTATTTACTTACAAGGAGGGCTCCCAGTGTGCAACATCGATATTCTGCTCAATATATGGAAATGTCGTGCTACAAAATTCACTTTCAGGCCTACTAGACTTCCAACATCGCGAACATTAGTTCTGATGTCGCGAACTACGTTCCTTGCACTCGAACCACGATTCCCACATCGCGAAAACGAAATCTGTTTAACTGCGCACCACTATTTCCTTGTTCCCGAACATATTTCCGCATTCGCACACAGAGATCCGTAACCGCAAACCACATCCCTGATGGAAAAAAATTTCGTTTTTTTGTTTCACTAAGTTGACTGTCGACATCGTCCTACATATTGGCATATAACTTGAAATCCCAAACTCCCGGATGTATAATGTACAAATTGCTCGCGGTTACGGATCTTTGTGCGCGAGCGGAGAAATAGGTTCGGGGACAAAGACATGGTGGTTCGCAATTAAAGATTTTGCGTTCGCGATGTGAGAATCGTGGTACGAGGGCAAGGAACGTAGTTCGCTATGCCAGAACTGACGTTCGCGTTGTTTGAAGTTTAGGCGGCCTGATTTTGTTCACTTCAATACTGTATAAGTGGTATTTAATCAGAGTGGTTGGTTAATTTTCCGAATGGTCAAATTTCCTCATTTTCCTAATTTTAATTTTCCTAATGACTAGAAACCTCCCATTGGATAACATTACAAAGACAATATTTCTGACATTTAATTTTCCGAACCTGGCAAAATTTGGAAATAGGAAAATTAAATGATTAGGCAAAATTACCACTTATACAGTATTTGAATCTTGAATTTTTGGTCTTAGTTCTTAACGATAATTTCCAAAACTCGCAAGAAATGATCGAAATATTGGTTCGAATCTTTTGAACTGTTTATTTGAAATTTATAATCGGTTATAATTTCAGAAAATAACGACATTTCAGCGTTTTCATTGTTGGAAAATATCGCCTTCGATTCTGGGAGCCAATCCTCCTTGATTTACTTGTGCATGTTCAGACATTTTTATGTACACTTAAATCCATATTTTAGTTTGCACAGAGTGCATAAAAAACTGGACAGGTTATAATTATTAGAGTACTCAAAAAGTCGTTCACGAATTAAAGCTTCAGAGTTTGTTTTACCATTTCTGCATGCACGAAATAATCTTTGCTTTGGTACCCACCCGGTCCATTATCGAAAGCCGCATAAACCAATGGTGAATTCAATCTTCGAATATTTAGCAAATATACACCACATTCTCAATATTTACATGTACTAATGACGATAACTTGAAATTAAAGTTTCATAAAAGAAGTTGATTGTCGAAAATTATTAACTCTGAATTAATAATTATCCAAGGACACGCTGTTTTCATTTTAAATCATCCACCAATATCGACTTAACCACGAAAAATGTTTTTCAAAACGTTACATGTACTAAATGGTGGTCGATTAAAAAAGATTTTTGTCTTTACGACCATCGACAATATGCCCCTTTGACAAGTTAAAAATGACAATCTACATTTTGAATGTGGTAATTTTTAGACCAATAAAAATCAGAATGGTTGTTATGAAATTAAATTACATTTCTACTGGCGTATGACACAAAACTGACCGCGGAACTGTCCCATTCCACTCCGCTCAAGTTGTTTTGTTCTTTCTTCAGGCTACAACGTGGCTCCGCTAACCAAGGCCTTGTTCTATGGCGTGAAGTTCGCCGATACATCCCTGTCTATTGCCAGCTGGGCTAGTGACGGCTGCAGCTATTTCCCCGATATATGCAGTCTAAAGGTGTGTTAGTCTTTCATTGTGCCCCTCTCCCACCATCTCAGGCCAACTGCACAATGGCAACACTAGAAAAAGCAAAACAAGGGAAATGTTTTAATATGGTCAATATTGATCATTTCCTGTCGTGTGACATCTTAAAAGATGACAGCTGACTGAAATTGAGCACTACATTTTTAATTGATCAATATTGACCATATCAAAACATTTTTTCATATTTCGCCAAACATGGGAAGTATACACTGTTGCTCATAAATATGGAATATTAGATTTGGCAGCTCAGAATTCAAAGTTTGGAGTAGAGAACATTTATTTGGAGTTGATTCAGACATTTATTTTCAAGGCAAATCATAACCACATATTTCATCTACAAATCAACATTTTCTAGAGAAAAAATATTCGCATTTTAGTTTAGAAAATTACTGTTATTTAAACAGGGGTACGGTAAGAATTTTTGCATTTTCAAAACACCCCGATCCAAATCGTCATGTAAAACAGATCAAAATAAATAAACAACTGGTCATGAAGATTGAAGTGTCCTCTATCCAATGATAGCACTAATATGCGCTATGTCCTCTTTGTGCTGCAATCAGAGCATCAACCCTACGGGACCAGCATAAAATGAAACATCTGACCTTTTCAAGTGAAATAAGGCCCCATTCCTCAATCTGGGCAGTGCGTAACGTGTCTAAATTTTGAGGTGGGTGTCCAAGTCACGAATCTCATTACCAAGGTCGTCCCACATTTGCTCTGCATTAGCCTGATTGGCTGACTTTTGTGCCCATGGTAGCTGGTCCACATTGCCTGCCCTGATGTATTCCAACACAATGCCACTAGCATATGCATCAGCATGATCATTCTGCAGTTGAATGTTGCCCCAAAACACTCTGTTTGCATGTGGTACTTGATGGAGGTCCAAAAGGTCAAATTACTCTGAAATTATGTTTGGGAATCACCAAGGGGGTGCAACTTCTGTAGTACTGCTCCAAACAACCTCTAATACTGCTCCAAACATAAATAGGGTCGCCTTCATGGACTGCAACATCAGTAAGTGTCCTTATTGTCTCTTTCCCCTGGTCTACGACAGAAACGAATACAATTATCAACTTTGTGGAGGACACATCTTATTTCTTCACATGTTGTCATATGACACCAAAGATTACGTCCTATGTTTTGGTGCTTTCCTGCCCATTGAAGGCACCTTTCTTTGTTATGATCAGTCAGCTGTGGTCTCTTTAAAGGTCTCATGGCCTTGCATCCGTTATAAAGAAATCACTGGTTGTCTATAGCTCTGGAACACAGGTTTTGAGGTGGGACAGTCATTCACCTCGTAGACTACTGGTTGACTAATAAGCGATTTTGATGACATAAATGCAGTAGGTGGTGGTCTTTTCTTACATTTTTCTCTCTGGGGCTACTATTGCTGTGACCTAGAGTCATATTCTAGTGCCTTTGGTACCACTGAAAAATTTTAGAGACTGTTCCTGACACACCCCTAGGGTCCTGGCAATGGTAGTTTGTTTCATGTCAGAGAGCGCCATCCCTATAACCTGGCATGCTCTTTTTTCACTTATTCTATTGGGCATGCCTTCTAAAAACTCTTCCAACTCTAAATTAAAATTTTCTGAAATGTGCACAATGATTACAACTAAATTTTGGACACCTTCTTCAAGTTACCAATATCATGAGGTCATGGGGTCACCTGAGTGAATATAAGTTTAATCAATCATAAATGTTTTAACTTTTCATACCAATCAGTTTTATATGCAAAACTGATGAGGGAATGAGAACATATTACAAATTTTCATCAAAATGTTATCATTTTGTAGAAATTCCATCAAACAGTTCTTCTGTATAAAATATTCCATATTTATGAGCAACAGTGTATTTATGGTTATAGCTATTTTTTCATTTCGTAGCCGAGACAACACTTGTAAGTCCCAAGTCTGTTTATTTACTCTCATATCTTCACTTTTAAGAGTTAAGTCACAACATTTTGCATACATATTACCTGGAGATATCCTAACATAGACTTTTTTGGTTTTGATTATTATATATTTGTAAAATGTATGGAGACATTTGATTTTGATTGGTTTTTAATCAAATTTTGCCATTTTTGCGTAATTAATAAAAACCCAACTTATAAATGACATAAACAAAATCGCGTCTTTAATCGTTTTGACAATAACTATCATCCTAGTTATTTTTTACCAGTCATCAGATCATGCATTGAAAGTGTACCGCATTGAGATTTACATTCATCGTCGCAAGTATTTGATTTGCAAAAGAATATTAGGAGTCGCACCATTATTTCGCCGCATTTTGGTGCTTCTTTTTCCATTGAAGGTCGTTTGGTACCACTGTGATGTCATAATATATCATCTGACATCATAATATTGGTACCAAATTGAAGCACACGTTACAAGCTTTAATACGATACCAAATATGGCATCATTCATTTGATTAAAATGGTAACTGGAATATATAAAAGGATATGCCACTCCCCCACCACATCCCTTTTTCAGGACATTGAAACATGCCAAAATAGCCAATAATGCAGGCATCTTCAGGGGTCGTTTTTGGCCCCGTTTTATTTGAAATATCATGTTTCTGCATATCATTTTTCTCGGAAATGTCTCAATTACCTAGAACAGTTACACTTGTGCTGAATAGATAACATTTGATCATTTTGGAGTTATTACTTCAAAAATAGAGACTATTATCAATTATGTTAAAATGTTGCATATGTTGCACAAAATGGCAAATTTTGGTAATAGACCAATCAAAATATAATGTTTCCCTATTTTTAACTAATAAACTATAATCGAAAGCAATGTTAGAGGCCTTCAGGGGCGGGGGGGGGCTTGTTTAATCTAAAATATCAAGAGCTAAACAGATGTAATTGCTAACTTTTTGAATAATTTGTTCATTCTCCATAACTGTGCGATTTCTGTCTCAAAATGATAAAAAAAATTTCATTGGAGTTTAAGTTTTGGATACGGTTGAGAAATCCTAAGGTTTTTAGTCCTGCTAGGAGAGTGCATCTTTCTTGTTGCAGCAGAGGTCAGTTTAATAAAAGTGATGTGTTGTTTGCTGTTTAACATCACATATACAAAATGGGTCATTTACTGTGGCAAAGTTATGAGCATATAGATGTGCTGTTATAGCTATCGATGGTCTGGCAAAAAAACGTTGCAAAATTAACTAACTTTGTCCGAATTAGAAAGTAATGTATGTGTATTATAGGCTATGTGAACCCTCTTCGCACGTGTTCTGGCGCTTTTAACTGCGGACACACGTTAAATTATCGAAAACCATGGGTCTTGTTTATTTTTACAGAAAGATATCCCAAAATTGGAAGAAGAAGCCAAAAGACTTTCAGAAGAGTTGAAAGAAAAGGTTCAACTGTTGTCCTCGTCTCACGAAGAGAACAGGGAAACCTTCAACATACTTGATAGGGCAAACGTGAACAACGAACGCATTGTCACGACTCTCGAAGCAATTCGGGGTTTTTCGGGTACTATCGTAGAGGTAAGATTCGTATGTAATGACCCAAATGAAGTATAGACAGTCATTGTGGGATCCACAGCCTTTACTATCCTTTTGGAATAGTTCTCTCAAAAGCGTTAGGTAAAGAGGGACTCTGATAAATCAGAATGATAGACAGTAATCTATTGAAATGATATACTACGTGTACTGTGTATACATAACAATTATCAGATGAAGTTCTGTCAAAAAACCAATATCACAAGGACCATTCTAAACTAACAAAGAATTATTTTCAATTAGTAAGCTGGGAAGTTTTTATTTTAGCTTTTGGAAGAAATCTCTGGCAAAGCTTTTTCTACAATTGATCCGATTAAACTGGAGATGGACGCCAATGCGCTCATAGAGAATGCTGCAAGTATAAGACTACAGATGAAGGATATGGAAAATGCCATGGAGAAAAGAAAGCTCATGGGTGGTATATCATTTGGGGCCGGTGGCGCTGTACAGATAGCATATTACGGATACACAGCCCGAAAGTATTACAAGATGAAAAAGGCTCAGTAAGTGTCATATAAATTACAAAATAAACATGTGTTCATTTTAAAGATGTCTCTTGTAAACAAATAGTGGATGTGTATACGATTGATTGGTCTATTGGTCAGTTCCAGGGGTCAGTTCACGGAAATATACTTAGCAAGTCTTAAAGAAATCAGATGTTCTTTCCCATCCTTCGATATCAAGTAATGGAATGTTTCCAATACAACTATTTCATGAATGAGAGTAGAGATCGAAGATGGAAGTCGACGGTTTTGATTTAGAATGAATGGGTAGTTTTCGATCTGGTTATTGTGAACATCTTCTGATACCTTTAGTCAGAAATGTTGAGAAGACTGATACGAAATGCAATGTTGCATTATTTTCTATTGTCACCAACTGGTGTGTAACCTTGCAAGTGTCGGCACTAAAACAGTATTTACACCGCTTTGTCCAACTTATTCATGGTATCTCAAACATTATCTTTACACAGGGGCGTAGATCTGGCGCAGTCAGAACGCACCAGCGTCAGCAAAAGTGTGACGTTAACGGGACAAATAAGAACCAAACTATCCAGCATGCAGACATGGATCAACAACCATCCAAAAGTTAAAATGAGCATGAGAGTAGCAGCTTATGGTGTTTCACTTCTGATCTCAGGTACGTGTCATTTAATGATTAAATAAAGTTTTTCAATGATGAAATAAAGTAGTTAATGATGAAATAAAGTTGTGAAAATGTTATGTTGAAAACGTTGAGCCAAACATAAATCACTGACACGCGCTGGGACCTCCATAGACTCACGTTAGATTGGACCTCATGGAACCCATTAGCCAAGTGGGATTAAGCATAACCATTAGCTGTATTTGCTTTATAAGGACGCACATAAACATCATCTGTTTTTGCTTTAAAGGGACCCACATTCTTATTAATTGTTTTTGCATTTAATTGACGATCGTTAGCATTTGCTGTTTTTGCATTATATGGACGCACATAAGCATTAGCCGATTTTGCTTTATGAGGACGTGCATTAACAGAAGCGTTTTTGCTTTACACATTATCATATGTACGCTGTTCTTGCATCAAAATGGCGCACATTGGAATTGGCTTTTTTTAATCGAAAGACGCACATTAGCATAAGCTGTTTTCCTTTGAAAGGACGCACATTGACATTAGCGGTATTTGCATAAAAACTCGAGAATAGCATCTAACTGTTTTCCTTTGAAAGGACGCACATTAGCATAAGCTGTTTTTCTTTGAAAGGACGCATATTGACATTAGCGGTATTTGCATAAAAACTCGAGAATAGCATCTAACTGTTTTCCTTTGAAAGGACGCACATTAGCATAAGCTGTTTTTCTTTGAAAGGACGCATATTGACATTAGCGGTATTTGCATAAAAACTCGAGAATAGCATCTAACTGTTTTGCATCGGAAGTACGCACATTAGCATAACATGTTTTACTTTGAATATTATATTTTTGCATTAACCCCCCTATCACACCAAACTAGTTCTTACCCGTTCTTGCCAGTCCTACGAAAACGTCGTAAAACGGGCTCAATCTGGCTGTGGTCGGGAAATATGTCTGAAATAATTAGCTTCTTCGTTCTTAAACAGTCTTCAATACGTCCATCTCGTTCGCAGTTCGTTCAGGTCGCACCACGTCGGTGTGCAACGTCGTAGAACGCGTCCCTTAGTTTAGAAGGTCAACATGACCTGATTACAGAACGGTATGGTCGCCATCGAACTTTGAATCGATTCAAAATTCTAAAATCACATTCCCGTCTGAGAACGTTCATAAAGTTCGTAAATAGACCTTAGAAAGTTGCAGCTACGTTCATTCCGTTCGCACATAGTTTAAAACCAGTTTTGAAGAACGCAGTGGCAACTTGTTTGGTGTGATAGCTATATTTTTGCTAACTCGTTCATAAGCAGTGTTAAATACGTTCTTAATCAGTTTAAACCCGTTTGCAATTAGTTCTACGTCGTTCTCAACATGTCCTCAGACAGTTCGACTCGTTGTTAAAACGTCCCTAGTAGGATTGAAGTACGACGGTTCCGTTCGTAGTACGTCCAGCTCGTCGTTAGTACGTTGTCACTCGTTTTAATTGTAGAACGTGACGACCACGAGAAGATCTTGAGCATTGTCTAAGTTCTAGAGGACCTACCCGTTCGAGTACGTTCGATGAAGTTTGTAAATAGATCCCAAACGGTTCTTAGTAGGTCCAGTCCGTTCGTACACAGTTGAAGCCCGTTTTCGAGAACGTAGTGAGAACTAGTTTGGTGTGATAGTAGGGTTAGGGACGCACAGAAGAAATATGTTTTTGGTGTGACCATGTTACTGTACAGAATATAGAAGTTTTATTTTGATTGATCTGTAGGTGCGATGCTTTATATCGATATCAAAAATTCGGAACAGATGAGAGATCGACTCCGTACAGTTAAGCAAGATCTCATTGACATCATAGATGGCCATGACACTACGGACTCAAAGGTGGACGAGTTTCTTACTACCCAAGAAGATGCGAAAGCAAGCATGGCGGACGACTTTGGCACTATTAAACAGGTTTGTTCGTTTATTGAATTGAAATAACCATTTGTAACCAATCTACACTCCCCTCCGAAAGTATGACAATCACTCAAACTGATTTGGATTATACCATTTGGCTTGGGGACATACATTAGTATAACACTACCATATCCTTTAACTATAATACAACAGGGTTACAAATCCTTTTGAGGGACGTGTATATCAAAAATAACGGAAATATTAATTTTTCATTACTGATGCATATATATCTTGCTCACTCTTTACCCACACGTACACTTAATTTCTATTTAATTGACATTTTTAAGGCATTCCTTAACGCGACTGGGTTTCTTGCCCAGTTGAAGACTTACCCCGGGGATTATTATGACCAAAGTTTAGTAGATCTGCCAACGTACACAGCGGGTATCGTGTCTCTAAGCACGATCAATGACCAGCAGGAAGCGTACGTATACCATATGGGAGTTTAAGATTAGCGAAAAGATATATGTACTTATATCAATCCCTATACGTATATTTTTACGGATACGTAAATGCGCTTTATATTTAATGAGTTTAAGATTAACGTAAAAGGTTATCTAAACGTAAACAATATTTTATGATAACAATGACATAATTATTAATTATAAGATAAAAAAGATAATGGGTTGTATGGCCAAAGTACTGTTATGAATTTCAGTACAATATATGTTACCATAGTTACCATATATATCGAGTGTCCCAAAAAATGAGACACTTTTTGATAAGTTTTTTCTCGGCAACTGGTTTACAAAACTTTTGAAAATGTTGTACAAAGTAGCCCAGGAGTATCGTCAGCTAGGTACAGAAATACGAATAAGATCAGGTAAATGTTATATGAGTACTAAGAAATTTAGGATAGCATGTCAAAATATCCCATACCGGAGCAACGCAATGAGAATTTCGTAGCGTTTGTTCCAAAAAATGGGAAGCAATTTGACCAGTAATATCTCAGCAATAGATAAATTAAATTAATTGAAAACTCGACTTCATGCACTTTAGGGTATCTTCTGCTACTTCTGTAAATATGTATTGACTTCGTATTATGTATGTATTTTTGAATTGAAGACAATATGTCAAAATTACCAATATCAATGTGAAAGTCACTTATTAATCCATTTCCAAGCAAAAATACCTTTCTGTCACCTCCAATGAAGTTTGAGAATGAATGGATTTTGGATATTTGGAAAGAATGGAAATGAATTAGTTAGAAATGACACACAAACAAACTTTTTTTGACTGATTAACAAATGCTATCACCTGATAGCTGGTACGAACATTATCACTGTGTTATAGCATGACGGTTACTACATCTCTGAAAACGAGATTAGACTACTACGATCACTGATTTATCCAATAAAATGGCCTCGATGGAACAGAAAACTAAGGGTGCATTATTTTCTTCTACTGTGTATCAATGAAAGGATGAACGATTTTTATAGGCATCGCATTCGGTGATGCATTTAGTAATGTATATTTTGAACGTATTCTTTGCAAATTGATGCCCGGGGATAACATGAAATAAGCGAAAGACTGTTGAGATTGAAATTCAAAACTACACAAAATTTAGTAATTTGTTTATTTTTGTCGTTAGGGCATGGTCTACATTGTCTAAAGGCCTCGGGGTATATAGATACCTACATACGATCATAAAAAGCCAATTTAGCATTGGAAACCACCTAATATGTTCTACTCAAGCCATAATAATGTATTTTGAATTTGCGGTTACGCAAAAAATTGATTGACGGTTATGCGAACCTCGTTCAAATATGTATCTCAGATTCATTGTTATCAATTTTGTCATATTCATCAGTACTTGATGCTAATTCTTCTTTTGCCTCTTCATTGCTATCTTTTTGACTTAAATTGGTTTCATAAATAAAGCAAGACACAATTTTTTCCTTGCCCTATAAAGGCTCAAACAAGAGCGTCTCTTGCGAGTCCTGAAAACAAATATAAGCAATTCAATATTCCATTTCTTACCCATTATAACAATTACATGGAACGAGGCTATCACAACTAGCAACCTTGACCTGAAAGATGTACATGCACGTAACCGTCCGCTAAATATCTAATGTAAATCTAATATAATACGTTACCGTCCATAGAATTCATACGTAGTCGTCTAACGACATTGCGTTTAAAACCTTATTATTAGAGAGGTTTCGCAAAACGAATTAGCTAAAACGTATCCGCATCCGTATCTCATTACGTTTACGGATACGTATTTCGATAATTTTCGTTTCGCAGTTCGTTTTTTGAAGTACGTAATTATAAACGCATCTCAATCCGTGTTTAATACTGGTAGTAGTGAAAACTAGGGTCAAATACCATTCAAAACACCATTGGGGGTGTCAGCTTTCAGAAGAACAGCTCCAAATGTATTTTTGGTGAGTGCAAAAATACATATTAACCCTTTCATTCCTAAGGTGTCATTTATTAATTTCATGACATCAATTTCAAAATGAAGAATATCCTTTAGGCCAGAAAATATTATTTCTAGGTTTACAATAACCAATTCAGTGTCAAATTATACTTTGGGGGAATATTTAAGGGTTTGAACAGAGATAGGCTGAAATAGTGGTCATTAAGTGACGTGCAGTGACTGCATTATGCCACAAAATGCGTAAACATTTCTAAAATTACTTGCCATACTGCACATGGACCTTTAATTTCATGCTTTTGCAGCTGTATATTTTGGTAATAATTCAAAATCTAATAAGTAAAAAAATAGCGACTTGGGCAAGGGCAAGGCCAAGGCATTCGGAAACCATACGTTTTCACATAAGCCACCCCCTTTCCCCATAATGGGCTTTAGTTGAAAACCCATGCCTCATATAAACTAAGGAGGGGAGCAAAGTAACATATTTGATCATAGAAAGCGACACAAATATATCATTTATGCAATAAAAGTATGTTTTGTATGAGAAATCAACAAAAAATATATTATGCAAAAAGATAAATTCGCATTGTTTTTCTTGAATTCATTGAACAACAGGGGACCAGCTCATCAGAGAACGACGCGAAGCTAACGCCTATCATACCAGTTGAATATCTCTCCATCATAATACCCTGTATCTCATACTTGAGTGGGTTTGGGGTAGATATCACCCGGGAATATATATCGTATCTGAGGAGCGGGCAGGATATATTGTATATGTCCCGCTCCAGGCCAAATGCGGGCAGATATAATATATACATCCCGCTCCCGGGAATTTTTCAAAAGTTTAAAAAAGTTAAAATATCAAAAGTTTTAATTTTAAAATTTATTTTTTTAAAGTTTAAATGTTACAACTTCATTGTAAATAATATTACGAAAATGTTAAAATATAAATATCTTGTCATTTGAAAAAGGTGAAAAAGGTTATATCTACCCTAAACCCACTCAAGTATGAGATACACCAGTTATGCACGGTCGGTTTGGATACATGAAATATCCCTTGGGATATACAATACATCTTCCCTTGGTTCCTTCGGTCCCTCGGAAAGATATATTGTATATCCCTCGGGATATTCCCTGTATCCAAAACCTCCCAGTGCATAACCCCTATATATCCCATTTGGGGTCTACACAGAATCAACTGATAAACCAACAGCATAATACCCTAAACCGGCCATTTGTTTCTTAACCCAATATCAACACCACAACCTGATCGGACACAGCCCACAACTCGACATATATAACCTATTACAACCAAACACAACCTTGATCACCAATCATGCAACAGTACAATAGAACATAACCCAGTATCAAAATACACAGAACGCAACAGAGCATAACCCAGCACCAAAGCCAGCATAGCGCAACCTGACTTACAACCACCAAAACACAACCAACTGTCAGATTAACACAATATGTCACAACCCAATAATAAGACAACAAAGACAAACGCAACCAATTGTGCACAATCCAACACTAAACAATAAAAACACAATCAGGCACAACCAATAAAACACAACTGAACTAACAACCATGAAACCACATCGAACTGTGGAATTATCACCACACAATTTGGCACAACCCAATGGTAAACCAACAAAAGCAAACACAGCCCATTGTTCAAGTAACACAACACAATTTTTCAAAAACCAAAACAAAACAATCAAAACAAAATCAGGCACAGGCAAAAAACACATTAAAATTGTAATACCGAGATACACAACTAACTTAACTCAATTGGAGACAAGACCAATCACACAACACAATCAGACACAACAAGATACCTCACCCGACTAGCCACAACCAGCTAGCCAACCAACATAACATATTCACAAGAGAAAACAACCCATTATAAGATTAACATAACACAATGGGACACAACCCGATACTAAATCACCAGACTAACAACCATCAAAAGAGAACCGAGTCTCAAACGTACACAACACAATTCGGCAAAACCTATACCTACTTGACACTAACCCACCATTACACAACCATGCTTAACCAAATACTCAATCGATTTACTCAACCCATCAAAACACAATCAGGCACAACCAAAAAACCACAACGAAACGTTGATACCGATTTACTCAACTAAGTTATTCCAACTGGAGACAATCGCACAAAACAATCGGGGACAATCCAATATCTACCGAATATGTACTTGAATTACAACCCCCCCCCTTCCCTATTATCACAAGGCTGCTAATGAAGAACACATCATGGACCACTACCCAAGAGTTGGGAACATCTGGGGCCCCCACCGTGACTCATATGTAAGAGATAAGATCCGTTAAAGGATCTGGATGCCAGGCCTGTCTTTACAAAATGAAAATAGGATCAAAGAAATATACTCTACCTGTTACATAATCATACTGAACACTTTTCTGGAGTTTTAAGCCAAAAAGCTCCCCCTTGCCACAAGCTGGATACGGGCAAGAGTGATGCGGGGCGTCATCTTTAGACCCAATATCACATTCATTGTCAAGTCAGGACCAAGCTACTATACTCAAACTAAGCCCAAGACCATGCTCTTTATAAATTCGGAGCGTGAGTTAAGGCACAAAATATATATTCAGGTGGCCTAGCTGCTAACCATTGGTTTGATGTCCCTGAGAAATTGACTACGATATTACTATTCACCCGAGAAACGATAGACCTTACATCTGCCTATTAGCAAAATTGCCTAAAGCTTTATTCGTAAAAATTGCAGGCCCCTCGCTTATAATCAAATTTATCGGCAGATAAGGCTATTACTTCATCAAAATTAGCACGAAACACATGATAACATATGTTGGTTACTAAAATTATACATTTAGGGAACATTTTATCAAAATTTGAAGGACAAAATAGATACGGAGACAAAACGCACAGAAAGTGTTAGTTTACGTACTTTCGGTATTGCTGTTGGTATCACAAACGTATTGAGTACACTTTTACTTCATCGATGCGTTACGGATTTTGATACGGGTAGCTAAAACGTTGTGCGAAACATGTACACTGTAATTATTGCAATACCATTCCATACAGTGTAAAATGAATTAAACATACCATTTGAAAAACTCGATTTAGTTCAAACAATAAACAAATTCATCACCAAATTTTAGTCAAATTATACACAGCACACTGTGCTTGTTCATATAGTGATACCTTTAGAGCTAAAAACAATATAATCGAAGGGTAAAATCGGATAAGTAAATGACCAACGTACGAAAGCCTCATTTTTCGTGTTTTCCGTATCATTTCACGTATAAATTGAACTGACTACGCATAAATCTGGTAAATACGTTACGGATACGGATCCGTGGATCTAAAAAACGTTTTGCGAAACCTCTCTATTTACAATATGACCACGTTCCTGTTCTGGATTTGTCATTTTATGGCTTGTTTATACAAAGTTTACTTGCTGTTATTAGTTTGAGTGGCTCTGAGGCATATATACTGAGAAATCACGAGAATGGACTAAAAAATATGAATTTGGACATCTCAGTCGGTAAGTTTACAGCTTATATTCCGCTTCTGGTAAACCACCTGGCAGATTTGACCCAGTTTTTATAACCATCCATATATACGTCACCGAATGGAACTAGATGAAAAAGAAATCTTATCTGTGAATCTTGCCTTCAAGCGAGGAAGAGGACATGCTGTCTTTCCCATCCGCCATTTTTTGTTATCGTTACCGCAAAATTTTGCAAATCGCCTTGACGTAACCGTCATGCTATAACACCTTGATTATAGAGGTCTCATCGCATAGCTATGGTATTGGGATTTTTGATATGCTATTTTGAATTTCTTAGTTTCCACAGAATATTTACTTGATCTTTTTAATATTTTTGAAACTTACTAATAATACTCGTACCTTGTATAAATTTTCAATGGATTTGGTTAATTAGTTGCCGAGAAAATACTTGACAAAAGGTTCTCATTTTCGGGACACCCGATATATGTAAAGGGAGGGGGTGTTGCTAATGGGGCAGTGACTTAATACGGAATGTTTTTCTATTATGATCCAGAATTAATATTGTGTAGATGGTATAATCAAACAATCTTAGGCTGTATTTTCGTATACTCGCGGGCGCAATACACCCACACAGCATGTAATGATTCTATCATGAGTAGATGGTATATTCAAACAATCTAAACCACGAGAAAATGGCTATTATCATCCATTACATCAAGCGAAATTCATGAAAAATGTGAGAATTCAACAATATTTTGCATTACTACCGTTTATCGCATCAAAGATTGTGTTCAACCAATTAATTTCTATATAGATCGAACGAGAAAATGTTGTAGTCGCCCTCATAAAGTTTTACAAATGATATTTGATCTATAAATGACATCATTTGTTGGATAAAAACATACGTTTTCGATTTACGTATCTTCGGGCATTTAAAGTATGCAAACATGGGTAAAATTATGCAAAGTATAGGTATGCGTACATTTGCTTTCTACGATAATCTTAAACTCTCTATTTTGACAGGCAACGGCCTACGACACGTATATTTCAAAAATTCTCAACTGCACAAATAATTCACATCTCAAGAAACCGGAAATAATTGGCTTGTGCAAGAGCAATACGGTTGTTGATATATCCTAAGCAATCTAATTTTTGTATATATCTAGTTAATAATATATTTTTTATCATGTCATATTATGCATAAAACGTACACTTAAAACGTATTTTCTGATTACAAAAACGACTTTAGATATTAAATTGTGGCATTTGAAACTGGTATGTAATATTCTTTCAGTTACAAAAGCTATCTGTTAAAAGAGGCTAAAAATCTACAGACGGTGTACAACCGATTTAAGATGATAACGGCCATATTGAACTTGATAAACGTTCCCGGATATACGATGCCTCTCAGCGTACTCCTGAAGACGGCACGTCAACATGACGCCTCTACTGACCGGGACTTGCTCCTAAATATTATCGCAAACAATCAGGTGATTATAAAAAATAAATGCACATCGTGTTCAATCAAAAGAGCACAAATCCAAAAATGAGTGCATATGCGACTTATATGACGATTATGGCCCAAAGAAAATTTTAAATCAACTAACCAGCAAAAATTGTCATATGTTTTTTTCCTTCTTTTATTCATAGAAAGTCATATTTGATCCGAGAAGTATTTCTTCCTGTTACGTTCTTGTGTTATTTATAATAGTTATTACAAAAAGGTGTAACCAAGAAATCTGACAAAATAATAAACTTTTGCCAGGGGTGAAACTGAAAATTGTCAGAAAGCAAAAATAAATATGAAATCCACTCCCGCGCAATGTAAAAATGGGAAAATCTCAATTCTTTAATATTTCAAATCAAGTGTTGGCTAAAGCTTTTTCAAAAATCTGCACCCCTTGTTGAACAGGAGATTCTAGATTTCTAAAATGCAATAATCGATTTGTCACAAATGATAATTGATTAAACAACATAACTCAAAGTACCAAAGATGTTCGTATGTTAGTTCTTCTAATAATAACCATGGATTTCTATTTTACTAACCTAAAATTTCGTAGTTATAGCTTTCGAATGCCACTGCGTCCTTCATCAAAGAGGAGGGAAAACCCCAGAGCTTAAGGGATGACAAACATATTATTCAATGCTTTATTGTACTAAAAATCCCTTTCGGGTGAGTGTACAGCAAATAAACATGATAAAATAAAACTAAAACTATACATACAATTACAATAACATACAATGCAAATTTTACATGGCATATAATGACAATATAATGTGATTGACTGATCATTAGATATATACCAACAACTACTATTAGCCTACACCTACATGTATATATTTATATTGATAATATAGTTGTTGATCTCTTTTCAATTATTTCATAAAGGTATTTTGCAAAGGTGATACACATGTTACCCTCAGCATTAAACATATAATTAGCCTTTTCTTCGGTAGTCAATACAGTTAGATTTGGGCAAATCGAGTTAAACGTATCAAAGTATTCATATCTCATTTTTTCCAATTTTTGGCACTCAAAAATAAAATGAATTTCCGTACCAGTGGTGATTTTACATAATTTGCATTTTCTTTGATCTCTCGGAACTATTGGTCTTGTATACCTTCCTCGCTCTATTTCTAAATTGTGTGCACTTATTCTTAATCGCGTCATAGATTTCCTATGTTCGGCGTTCTTTATTAAATTCAAATATGGTTCTTTTCCCCATCGTTGTTTGATATTATTCAAAAATTCTAATTTCCCTTTATTATCATTGACAGTTTTTTCGCAATATTTTATATATCTTTTTTCAAGGATTTTCTTAATATCAAGCGGTTTACTTTTAATGTAATTTTTATCTTGTGAACATATGCCATTATTTTATCAATGTCATAGTACCATGATGGTTGATTATGAACTTTTGATAGTTCAATACTATCTGCATATGCATTAATTAGTAATGAACTCGTTCCTTCATTTTCTATATGATCTAAGTATTTAACTTGTTGGTAAAATATATTGATAAACAGAGGGAATCTACCTAACTCACCCATCGAAGCTAAATTACTCGTTTTTCTATGCACCCCTAATAGAAACTTCAAAAAAGATAGATGTAGTAATTCCGGTGGAAGTGACTGGTCATATTTCATTTCAAGGCCAAAATCTTTATTTTTCAGAAGATCTTTATTAGTTATTAGACCAGCACCCCAGATTTCACATCCATATAATAAAATTGGTTTTACTAATATGTCAAATAATTTCAGGCACAAAGTTAGGTTAATATCACCATGTGTAAGCATACTTATCAATTGGAATTTCGCCTTTTCTGCTTTTTCTTTAATAAAGATTGCAGCTTGTTTCATCGATCCGTTGGCATGGAATTCCATACCCAAATAAGTATACTTTGATACGTTTTCAATTACCTGGTCCCCAATGTAGAATATATCATTACATCGTTTACCACTTTTATTAAACATTACAATTTTAGTTTTATCAGTATTGATATCTAAGTTCCATTGTTTACAATAATTGTTTAATTTTTTCAATTTTATGTCCATATCAGTTTTATTTGCAGTAATTATGGCTAAATCATCTGCAAATAGCAGGCAACTTATTTTTTGTTTTTGTAATTTTAAGTCTGATTCAAGTGTTAATTCTTCAACAACATCATTGATGTAAATATTAAACATTAATGGACTGAGTGGGTCCCCCTGTTTAACCCCCCTCTCACATTTAAAGATATCAGTATGGTCACCGTTACTGTTAATTCTAACTGATGCCATTGAATTAGTATACATGTGTTTTACCATGTGATAAAAATGACCTCGAATTCCTGCTTGGAGAAGTTTGAGATACAGTCCCTTATGCCATATCGTGTCGAATGCTTTTCTTAGATCTACAAAGCAAATATACATTTTCTTTTTCTCATATGATATGACGTCTCTTGCGTATCACCTTCGTTTGACTAACATAAAATTTTGCGAAAATTCTCACCAATTAGTTCTCGAATATAACGTGCGTTGTTGTGATGTTTTAATCGATTAAAGCATATTCTGTCCATGTGAAACAACAATCTATGATATTTGTTAACACGCCCATGCCTGTAGCGACCGGGGGTTCGACGCAAGAAATTAACATGATATTATTTGAAGCGATATTAGAAAATTTTGTATCCACCATTTTTGTTTGTCGATTTTGACTGACCAATCGGAGACGTGGGTCATCTCATTACAGGTTTACATTAGGGATAACACAACTAAATGTTATAACATGCGTAATCCCATACAAACGATTTGTCTTCCAGAGGAAACAAATATTTGTGGACATGTTTTGCTATCATGCCATCATACCCAAGTATGTTCTCTGTCAGTTAAGAGTTTGGATCAAACTCCCATTGAAAATCAAAAGATCTCACCTGTTGAAGACGCCATCTATTGAAATGTCAAATTTGTCATTCTGATTTTGACAGATGGAGGCAGGTCAAAAAGGTCACATTTTTTAAAGAAAATGCACCTTAATTAGAGTTGGTCCCTACATACACATTTTCATTCATGCACTTACCAAAATCCAACCATTGATGATGCTAATGTTATTACAATAATGGACTATATTCTTGTGTATGAAATGTCATATTCCTACTATAGCGGAAGGATCAATTGGTTGTGTGTCTCCTATAAGCGTACGTCATCTTTGAATTCTGGGGTTAATCCCCTGTTTCATCTGTTTGATTTCCCACCAACCCAACTGTCCTTGACCTTGATCTTGAACCTAACCTTGGCTTCACGGTTTTAGCAACGATTTGTCACCTGAATCTCTGTTCAGGGCTGGTTTATCCAAGTGTATATGTATCGCTTCCTTAATTTTTCTATCCAAGTCCTTACTTTCCTTATCAATAATACTGTGTTTGCCCCCAGTAAATCCCATGACATGTTGAATGTTCAGCTAAAGCAGACGATGTTTTTTTCCTAATCTTAAGGCCTTATATAAACAAGTAGGATTGGCTCTGGGGATTGGCTACCAGGATTGACCATCGATATTTTCCAACAATAAAAACGGCGTTGTCGTTTTTTCTGAAATTAAAACTCACTATAAATTCAAAATAAACGGTCCAAAACCTTCATACCAATATTTTGATTATTTCTTGGGGTTTTGGAATTTTTCGTCAAAGAATGAGACCAAAATTCACGATTCAAATGTTGAAGTGAACAAAATGGCGGCCGTTTCGATTCAATTTGAATCACGACATTTCCATATATGGGACAGAATATCGATGTGGCACTCTGGGAGTCAATCCTCCTTGGTCTAAAAATGCATTTAACATTGACTGTTAGAACGTAATTCTTTTTTTAAAGACTCCTTTTTTCAAAAATCGAGTCCCTGTTTCATGGCAGTGATTGCGTCTATGAAAACCCCGGATTTCAAAGAAGATATATCTTTATAGTAAACCTTTACTGAGATGACATACATCTCTGCGATCATAAATCGAAAAACAAAATGGCGCCCTCATAACTTCTGAAAATTTCTGGTGTATTAACCAATATTATAGCTTCTTATTTTACATCAAGATCGATGAAGAAAGGTGCATGGAAAAGATATAGCTCTGGGTTTTCACGGGGTCTTTAATTCCCTCCTCTTATGTTTAGTTCCCATGACCTTGACCTACAACTTTACATATTCTTTCAGACATCACGTGATCCCTACACGTGGCCAGATTTAAATATGAGTACCGGAAAGATAACAAACATTGATCTTACGCCGTGGTTCACCCTGAAAACCACCACCCCTACAACCACCACGGCCCGGCCAACAACAACAACGAGGAAACCATTAAGATGGACACGAGTCCGAAGAATTAGGTTACCAAGAGTTAGAATACCAAGAGTCAGGGTACCAAGTGTCCGGGTACGAAGAGTTAGGGTACCAAGTGTCCGGCTACCAAGAGTCCGGGTATCAAGATTTAGTTCTCGATTTCGAGGGTTTTGAGAATAACGACGTTGTTGCAACGCATGGACATCAAGGGACTTTGTATTTACAAGAATTTTGAAATTGCAGCATGTAATAACTATCAGATTGGCCGCAGGTTGGACACAAGCTTAAACTCCCTTGTTCAAATAATCAACCCAATCCACATCATCTTCTTAAAGCGCTTTACAGTACTGTTTTGGAAAATCACACTGTACTTCACTGCTTTACAGCGCCACGCAAGCCGCAGTCCGCGATTGTGCATTCGTTTTGATATACCAATGTGAACAAAGGCCCAAATATCGAGGCGCCCAAGCAATGTACAGTTAAGATTCGTTTATTTTCGTCGAATACCATATACGAAATGGTAGATTTTATAAAATAAACAGCTATGTATAACTAATGATACTGACAATAAATAACAAATATAGATTTCTTAAATGAATTATTATGTGTTAAATGCGTTTTTTACCGTACATTTGAATAATATGGTATACACGGGTTATTTTGCAATACGTTCGAATAAAATGGGTACACATGTGTTATTTTGCAATACGTTTGAATAATATGGGTACATATGTGTTATTTTTCAATTCGTTCGAATTATATGCCTATGGTATACATGTGTTATTTTGCAATACGTTTGAAATAACTATTGTGTACAAGTTTTTTATTCCATATTATAACATACCTATGATGATGTATAGTGTAAACTAATCACAAGACAGCGGGCCAGTATACCTTTTGAAAAGCCCCCGCCTGCTAACTTTCTGATTGGTCAAGCGCTGGGACTACGTCATACATTAGGCCTAGGTCATATTGACTCGTACATTCGTAAGATACAAACATGGGAATACATCATCATTTCTAAAACCATTGCTAGTCAATAAGATGAGAAGTACTCTCTGACCAGACTAGATCATTTTTTAAAGCTTCATTTTTTTCCAAAATTTTCATCTTTTCCCAAAAAATTATTTTCCCCAAAATAATGGAATAAAAAGTTTATTTCATGCTTGATTTTCAATATGAATTTTATTCCACGGGAAATATGACATTGACCTCGGTAAATATTATATTGACACTATATATTATATTGAAAATCAAGCATGAAATAACCTATATAAGGGTTATGTACTGGGAGGTTTTGGATACAGGGTTTATCCCAAGGGAAATATGTGTATCTCCCGAGGGACCGCAAACCCTGTATTCAAAACCGACCGTACATAACAGATGTATATCATAGCTACTGAGGTTTCAGGTACATCATAACTTATAGAGTTCCAAAATTCCAAAACATACTTAAGGTACACGTTTTCTTGGTCTTAAAGATTGCGAGATTTTTTTTTTCATGAGCGGGACCGGGATGGATACAGTATCCATCCCGCCCCGCTCCTCGGTGATAGATCCCTAGATACAGTATATATTCCCGCTTGTTATTTACCTAGAACCTTAGTAGGTATATGGGATACATATATACTCCTCAAAAAAAGTTAAATTGTCCTGATGTCAGTCACATTTCCTACGGCGACCTTGCGGCCTATCATTTCTGCGGCCAGTAACATTTCTACGCTCGCCGTGGAATTTCTGCGCTCTCATACTTTTGCAGTCACATTTCCCACGGCAGCCGCACGGTGAATTTTAAATTTATGTTGATAAATAATACTTTTTTCATTTTATTTACATCGGGACAATTTATAAATGTTATTCAAAGTGCTAGGATGTAATATCAAATGAAAAGTGATCGTGAAACATTGACAAATAATGATTCAATCTTGTTGAGCCAGTTGATTTCTACGGGGACCTCAGAAATGAACAAATATTATAACTCCGAGTTATAATTTCTACGCCTTCCCTGCGGCCTGTAAAAATCTGCTTTCGCCGTACGGAGGCCGCAAGGCGAGCGTAGTTTTTCTACGCTCGCCGCAGAAATTCACCGATTTAATTGTTCTGCGGTCGACTTGCGGCCGCCGTGCGACAAATGTGACTTTGCAATGACTTTGAGACGGGATGAGAAAAAATCTACTATTTATAAATGAAGTTTTTTGTTGAGTTGCTTCTTCCATTCTTGCCGCTATCTTGGAAGTTTTTAGATAAATCTTGTCATCGAGATTCTAGGAAAATCGCCTAACAGATTTACTTGAAATTTTCACACATGTTCACGATGCCCATGTCAAGCAGCGTGCCTACTAGCACGCATTTTGAAACTCTGACAAACTGCGCGCATATTTCAAAATGGAAGACGGGGAGGACACGACTCCCAAAAAGAGCCAAAATACGAAAAATACAAGGTTAGTCTCGTTCTAAAGATAGTACTATTCTGTGAAGATGAACTTATTTTACTCATAGTACTCAATGTTGTTCCCGATGTAAACCTAGTTATCTCAATATAAGGGTCTTAAGTAACTTCTGTGTTCAAAATTTACAGTGTAAAGTTATATCTTTCTCTTTTTATCGTCATTTGCCGTTTATTCAGCCATTGTGTCTGTGTATGCTAGAATATATAAGATCACTCCATCTGATTAAAGCAGCATAGTTTGTGTTCAAAACGATAATAAGCCATAAACGTGATTTAAACATTTTTCTTGTCAAACTGCGCGCCTATATTCACATGTATTTCCCAAACTGCGTGCCTAATATTTCCAAACTGCTTGCCTATCCAAGCTTGTTTTGTATTATTAGAAAACGTAAGCGCCATATGTAAGGCACATATGTGTCTAACAGTAGAACCCCATAATTGAAACACTATGAGACTCCATCCACCAAGATGGTGATCTGAAAATAAACGTTTTTTTTCGTTCCCAACTTAATTGTCACTTCTATTATACATTTTGACTTTCAATATGAAAATCTCATAAAATCTGACGATAAAGCAAAGTTTCCAAAGCTATATAAAAAACACCTACACCTGCCTCTGTAGAAATTCCAACGATAATATGTAGTTTTAATAGTGTATGCGCACAGTTTGTAATTTCTGGCAAAAATAGGCGCGCAGTTTGTGCTTTATTTCTTTTTAAACTCCTGATTATCTGTTTTATCTCGAAATATTTTGAATTATACATGATAAATGCGTAAGGAATTAAATATAAAACGAGTCTAAAGTATTTGTCATTTATGTTTAAAGTGCTAGATCGATTTACGTATAAATTTCCGTTAAATCAGTGACGAAAATGCCATCAATCTGCTTATGTTTTAAAACTTAGATTTAATTGCACATAGTTTTTGCTAGTATTTGCAAGATTCGTACATTCGCCACAGAATGAACGCATTGAACAAGAAAACAATGCAGGATAAATGTCTTTAAATTACATTTTAAAATACAGACTCCAACTTAAATGATGTAATGTTGTTAGGCACGCAGTTTGTGATCGAAACAAACTGCGCGCCTAAGTAGGCGCGCAGCTTGACATGGGCACCGTGATGTTACATAGTAAGAAGTTCTCGAGCTGATTAAATTTTCGATGGTCATTTTGCATTTTGGCGGACATATTGGAAGTTCTTAGATAAATCTTGTCATCGCGATTCCAGAAAGACCACTCAACGGATTTACTTTAAATGTTCACACATGTTACATGGGACTGGTTTAACTTTTCGGCAGCCATGTTGCATTCTGGCGGTCTTTTTGGAAGTTTTTTTTATGAAACTTGTCATAACAATTCCAGGAAAACCTCTTGGCGGATTTACTCCAAATTATTACACATGTTACATGGTTAGAAGTGCTAGAGCTGGTTAACTTTTCAACTGCCATTTACATTCTGTTGGCCATCTTGGAAGCTTTTCAGTAAATATTGTCATCACGATTCCAGGAAAACCACTTAACGACTTTACTCCTTATTTTCACTTATGATACATATAAAGAAGTCCTAGAGCTCATTAACTTTTCGGCAGCCATCTTGCATTCTGGCGGCCATTTTTTAAGTTTATAGATAAATCTTGTCATCGCGATTCCTGGAAAACTACTAAACGGATTGACTTCAAATTCTTACACCTGTTACATGATAAGAAGTTCTAGAACTGATAACCTTTTCTGTGGCCATCTTGCTTTCTGAGTCACACCCCAGTCACATTTGTCGCACGGCGGTCGCAAGTCGACCGCAGATCAATTAAATCGGTGTATTTCTGCGGCGAGCGTAGAAAAACTACGCTCGCCTTGCGGCCTCCGTACGGCGAAAGCAGATTTTTACAGGCCGCAGGGAAGGCGTAGAAATTATAACTCGGAGTTATAATATTTGTTCATTTCTGAGGTCCCCGTAGAAATCAACTGGCTCAACAAGATTGAATCATTATTTGTCAATGTTTCACGATCACTTTTCATTTGATATTACATCCTAGCACTTTGAATAACATTTATAAATTGTCCCGATGTAAATAAAATGAAAAAAGTATTATTTATCAACAGAAATTTAAAATTCACCGTGCGGCTGCCGTGGGAAATGTGACTGCAAAAGTATGAGAGCGCAGAAATTCCACGGCTAGCGTAGAAATGTTACTGGCCGCAGAAATGATAGGCCGCAAGGTCGCCGTAGGAAATGTGACTGGGGTGTCATCAAGCCCACAGTGTTATGTTTTACATTACACACTGCTGTAATATTTTAACCCTTTACACACTAATACAGATTAAAATGTTTTTATATATTATTGTCTTCAAACAATTATGTTCAGATGTAAAAATCCAATATTTTTCATCTTCATTTACAAAGTTACAGATAATACATTTTATAATTTGATGTCATATACACAGGGAAATATACCGATTACTCAATTAGTACAAAATTAGTGCTAAACTTACTCACCATTAACTTTTGATATAATTTCTCAAATTATAAACATCTTCAAATTACTTAGAAGACAAAGCAGTGTACATATATATGCACTTTTCCTAAGAATGGATTAATATGGTGTCTGTCATTTTCTCGCTTCATAGCTATTCCATAAAATAGTTACAGGACTAAGGATTTTTGAAAAGTTTAATGATATATTTATCCATGTGTTCATATGATTAAATGTAATTTATTACAATTAGCGCTAAAATGCCATGAGTACTATTTTAGTACTCGGCATATCTCCCTGTGTATGTGCTAAAGGTTAAGAAAGTCAAATTCCATGACTTTTACATTTTCAGTAGAACCTCCTCAGCAACAGGAGTAGTAGCCTTTTCAGCGCAGTGACATGCAGAGGGTGCTATCGCAAACATGTACTGCGTGAAACGATAAATTCTTGAATATTGTAACGACCTCGAACAGAGGAGCTTTTATGAATCTTATTCTTGTTTTTGTGAGATTTTAAGATTTGCATATTAAACCACTAATAATTAATCACGTACTTTTCCTTCTTTAAATATCATATTTGCATTAAGTATTAAGTCACACTGACAATTTGATTTAGACAGATATGTTATCGACATGCTAATGAACAGTGTTGTGCGCGACGTTTGCTAATATCAACAAATGTTCATAAGCCTCAATATGGAAAACCGGTCTTATCACAAAAATCAAAATTGTGCTACAGAGCCAAATATGTGCCTAAGATTATCAAAAAATGTGCTAAATTCAAATCTAAACTTTAAAGTGGTAACTGTAGAAGTTACCTCTGCGCTCGGGTATTCTATAAATGCACAAGCCATTGTTTTTAAACTATGATGTCACGATTTCCATGATAACAAAAATGGATTTGTGAATATTCATTACTAAGAACGTTACGAGAATGTTCCCTTGACAATCTAGTGTTGTAAATCTGTATATCTCACTCTACTAACCCCTAGAAATGCATAAGCTATTCTGTTTGTCTAATTGTATTGTTTAGTATATTTTTGAAAGTACCTTATTAACATCTAACAGTCATCCGATAAACCATTCATAAGGAATAGACACATAAAAACAAATAACATAATCATTACGGATGCAAGGTATAGTAGAGTGATCTATTAATTAAAGTGTGCGCGAAAGTTTAAAACTGCGCAGGCGCACCGCTCTCGCTAAACTATATAAAGAGATTACCAGGTACACGATTCAGAGGTAAGCCAGGAAGGCGAACGATCTTCGTCTCGTGATGATTTCCCATATAATCGTAACCAGGGAAGTTTCACCATTGAAATTGAAAATTACTATTAGATATACTTTGTAGATGTTATTTATGAAGCTATTTAGTGTTTGCATCAATCAAATGGCTCATTTTGAACATATAAAAAGTATTTGTGTTTTGTTTCCCAGGGAATTGTATTGTATGTAGTACACACATAAATAGTGTACATTATACAGTACTTGTGAATAGCCTGGTTTACATAATATTGAAGGGCATGCTGATTACATGCACACGAGTACATGAATGAACGCCTAATATTGATATACGTAGCTTGCATACCTAAATAAAAAATAAACTCTTCTAATCCCCTAATGTAAACACGGCGGTATACGTAGCCCGATTTATCGGGGACTTTAAGCTGTGCCATTTACGGACTAATCAGACCAAAGTTTGGTGATCAGCCGCATATTTACAATGTCCAGCCTATCATTACTGTAATGTTAAAGTCGATAGGTACCAAAAAACGCAAAAAGTCAATGGTGCAAGCCTCCATTGCTCTAATATATTTCCCTATACAAGTTCATAATAACAGTACGTCACCAGAACTTTTACCAGTAAACAAGTTAAGGAAACACCCCTTTGTTCATTTTGAAATGAAATGAATTTACTGATTTAAAAACCGTACAAACAAAATGAATGAAACTCAATTGAAAGATTTTTATATGCAACTTTGAGGTCGGCTTAAATATTCAATGAAAATGCACATTAGATATCGTGTATCGCTTATAGGCATTCAGGCATAGGTTCAAACAATATACGCCACATAAAAACATGTTCAAATGGTGCCTCTCTGGTAGAACGAGGCACCGCCAGTGTTTATATTAACTGAATTGAAAGACTTTTTATTAACTATACCTGTGTTTAGAGTGAGATTAAACCAGTTAGGGAAAAGTTCAATTGTGGTTTGAGAATAAGATTCATTTGGTAGAACGTATTTACATACTCTCAGGATTTAAATTGTGGATTGAGCAGTACAACCAACAATATTATATCACTCGAATTCATGTTGTTAACACCAAGGAAACTATTTGGAGCCCAATTTGGAATCATACGAATCCAGCGTCCACTAAATCCGGGTGTAAAATCACTGTCACGCAAAGAACTGGGGTTAAAAAACATTTATAGGTTGCAGCCTAGAAAACGAGATGGGCTGCCGTGGATTTTGGAGGCAGATCTGGATGTTCAGGAATATGTTTATCATCATTCTCACCCCCATTGTACTGCTGCCGTTGCCCGTAGTGCTTCAGGATAGAGTAAGTGTATTGTTTGTTTCTACCATTCGAAAGCTTTATTCATTCGAACTCTTTAAATAAGTGATTCTTTGATAATACTTCGCCCTAATTCCCAGGAATACATGGAATATTAAAAAGTGTCCTAGTGAATGAAGTTACAGTACAGAGTGAACATAAGTATTCAAAGGTATTTTAGTTAAACTAGATTTACACATACATGTACATACACACACATATGCATACACAAAGATAAAACATTAACTCTGATTTAATACATTCATTCCCTGACCCGAGGCCAAGCCAAAACCCAATCCGACTATAAAGCCAGCTTAAATCATCCTTCTTCGCCGATGAGCTTTGTAGCTGTCGTGCTCCTTAAAGTAAAATACCCTTGGAGCAAAGATGGTTGAAAATCGTATCCTATCCTTCCGATTAATATGAGACTCAGCATGTTCAGTTACTCATAGCATCTTTCTGTTTTACCTCAGGGCTGAGAAGATTTGAGATGTCATGGTTTATCATGATGCTATTGTGAGGAATATCGAGAGGGGAAAAGAATGGATGCCCTATTTTATATTTATCTTCTCTGTTTATTTAGGCATGTGACATTGTAATGCAAATTTATACAAGGTTAAACGAAACGCATAAAAGTTTAGATGTTTTTCATCACAGTGTAATACAACAGGTGGACGTTCAGTCAACCTAATTTCATTCCTTAAAGCCTCGTCTCCGTTTAGTCAATCTAATTTCATTCCTTAAAGCCTAATCGTTAACCCTGTTTAATTAACATAACTTCATTCCTTAAAGCCTCATATTTTACTCGTTTAATCAACATGTTGTCATTCTCTCAGCTTTAACCCCATTTAGTCAACAAAATTCTATTCCTTAAAGCCTCATTTTCAACTCCGTTTAATCAACATGTTGTCATTCTCTCAGCTTTAACCCCATTTAGTCAACAAAATTCCATTCCTTAAAGCCTCATTTTCAACTCCGTTTAATCAACATGTTGTCATTCTCTCAGCTTTAACCTCATTTAGTCAACAAAATTCCATTCCTTAAAGCCTCATTTTCAACTCCGTTTAATCAACATGTTGTCATTCTCTCAGCTTTAACCTCATTTAGTCAACAAAATTCCATTCCTTAAAGCCTCATTTTCAACTCCGTTTAATCAACATGTTGTCATTCTCTCAGCTTTAACCCCATTTAGTCAACAGAATTCCATTCCTTAAAGCCTCATTTTCAACTCCGTTTAATCAACATAACCTCATTCATTTCCTTAAAGCCCCATCTTAAACGCTGTAATAACATAATTACATTCAATTATGTCTCGTATCGTATTTCATCAACATATTTTCGAGATAAGACAAAATGATTTCTAAGGTAATTTTCTGTAAGCTTTGCCGAAAACAAAGTTTTGAGGTCTTGGCCGTTTAGAGATAATTCTCTATACGTCTTGTATGGCTAATGTCAAAATGACAAATATTTTATAATCCGAAGACTTTCATCATTCTGACATGTATTGTTACTTACATTTTGATATTCACTATTCATTGGTCCATTGGCTCATTACACTAACAACCAACGAGGAATCACCGAAAGAATTTACATATATCACGTGACTTATGGCCTCGAGACTTGCTGTTTGTTTGTTAACTCTATATTCGTTCACTTTCATTACATTGGTCGCTAATTATGAGAAATATAATAATTTTTCAATAAAATAATTGGCAATTTATCTAAAATTTAAGAATCATAAGCCAAAGTTAGCAAATGATGAATTGTTAAAATCATCTGGCAAGAAATTTGTAGAGATGGAGGCAAATTGAATTCCTCTTTTCAATTCTATTTTGATTTGGTTTTCTACATCTTAAAACTACAATAGCTTTCATGTTTCACGAGAATACGTGTATCTCTAGTCTTTTTAATGATTGTTAAGGATCCGAACACTAATTGACATGCATTTTTAAAATACTGTTTCCGATATTTACAAAAATGACGTCTGCTAAATCAGTTGCATTATGGGATAGTATTGCTGCCATTTATATCATGAAAGTTACTTTTATTTCCATTACATTGCGTGTATCCGCGATAAAGGACAATATTTTGATGTTTTTCACCGGCACAGTGTCAAATCGGTGTAAAAGCGTAAACAAAATTTAGCTGTGTGTATTACCAGTGACTCATTCAGACCTTTATGTGAAAAAATGACAAGAGTGATGCGATATCCTTTCTTTATTAAAAACCCCGTTGAATTATCGAGATGATTTCCACAAAAATGATGTCTATGAAAGGTTCATGTGACGTACGCGTAACCGACGCTTTCTTAATTTATAAAATGATTTGTAAATATTTTGGGGGCATAGATGACACTTAAGTTCAAAGTGAACTTTACATTACCATATAAGTATGAACGCGGCTTTCAAAGTTAGTAATTCAGCTTAATAACTTCTTCAGTAACACAATAAATATCAAATATTATAACTATAAACAATACAAACGATGGAGTCAATATGCTTTTAAGATAAGAGTTTCTTACGTATATCATAAGGAACGAAAATATTGGTATAGTGAAGACCACACTGTTTGAGAATCTCACAAAAGGCAAAATTTGTTGGAGACTTTAACTGACAAGCGTTCTTGTATCCATTATTCTTAAAGATGTCAATTCTGCAGCAGATTTGGGCGTTCAGGAATATGTTTATCACAGTCCTGACGCCCATTATTCTCTTACCTCTCCCCGTTGTGCTACAAGATAGGGTAAGTGACCGGGAGGATCGAACTAGGCAAATATTTTATTACACGTTCAAGGAGTGCTTATTAATAATGTATTCATACATAGCTGGCAAGGTGTGTCCAATTCAAACCAATCGGAAACGCTATTTCACGTTACTGCATTCCGTTACTGGTTGTCAATGTGAGAAATGTACTCACATATTAAAATTAATACTTTGAAAATATGTTCTTTTAGTGATTTAGTATCTTTAGGTGATTTTGTTGAAAATACTTTGCAATGTGTGAAAAGAATTTAAGCCCAAGACTCAATGCATTGTGGCTGTTTTATTCCACCCAGTCGTTGTTTCCTAAATCGTAGCTTCGATGTTCCGACATTTTGTCACCGAAACGAACCGTTTCGGTAACCAGCGTAATCGATTGGATCACCAGTGGAGAAAAAGTGTTCACACTGAGATAAGAGCGGTGTTCGAATATAGGCTTAACTGTGCAAGTATTTAGATTTGTGTCTTATTTTCCAGGCGGCGAGCTGCGCCTATGCAATCATTATAATGGCCATTTATTGGGTGTTTGAAGTTCTTCCGATGGCCGTAACAGCGCTTCTCCCATTGGTCATAATGCCCCCTCTGGGAGTTTTGGGCGCTAAGGATCTTGCAGTGAACTATCTCAAGGTACAGCCAAAGCTATCAAGAGGTTTTCGAGTAATGGTTTAAAGTTGTCTAAGAGTGATATATGCCTGAAGACTCCGTATGCTACTCTGATACCCGAGAGATATAAAATCACGATAAAAATGCGAGCAATGGTTTATATTCCCGGGTCACAGAATGTGTATCGAACGAAACAAGTAATGTTTCAGTTGATTATAGATAAAAAACGAAAACTTTGCAATAAAGAAAGATATGGGTGTAAACAGACATTACATAGTAAAAACACGACTGCATCGATCATTTAACCTGTCCAGGGTATTATGGTTTGCAATGCTACAGAGAAAAAACAATCACTCTCACTCCCAACTAGGTCAAGATAAGATGGCTTTTGATTTTTCTCTTTGATTTTAGACATTGTTTACAATATCAGCACACTGCACTGGTAAGAGTTTGCAATTTGATGTTTTTATAGGATACGAATTTTCTGTTTGTCGGTGGACTATTGGTTGCTGTTGCAGTCGAAAGGTGGAATCTTCACAAACGAATAGCACTTCGTGTCCTTTTACTTGTGGGAGCAAAGCCAAAGTGGTAAAGCTGAATTCGTTATTTTAAGCACTTAAAGGCCCATTTTTGGGAATTTTTAACATTTTTGGGCAGAATGACGACTTACATTTAAATTCCATAGAATCTCCAATGTATTGATAAGAACCTTATCTTTCATTTGACACCAACAACAGCTCAAATGGACCACATCAAAGCTTACAATAAATGATCAAAAAATATTTTCGATCTGTCAAGCTTTTTATATCAAGTTTTTATCAATGTCATTGAAAGATGGCAAAGTTGTTTGTATTACATGATACATGCATTTTTAAAGAAGTGTCGCCATCTTTTAAATCAATAGTAATTTAAAACATGCGCTTTGTTTAGCATGTACATGCATGTCTAATGATCTCTGAACTTCAAATAATTTTTTCAATGTGAGTTATTTTTTCTTGGTCCAATATTAAAGCAAAACAAACCTTGTGTCATATTTGAGCAAGTGTGTGAGTAACATGTTTCAATGTTTTTTTCTTTTTAATTAAGTATAGTGTGCCTTTAATTTTGATTTCTGACGTTTTATTTTTCTCTTGCAAATAATCGATTAAATATTATACAGTTCCAATCGAGTATTATTATAGGACAGAAGTACCAGCATAAAATCAGCACACTAGCTAGATTTTATTCACCTTTAGAAAAACAAGAGGAAGGGTAGAAATTGACAATTATGGTCCAAAATCAATCGAGGAGTCATCAAAATGGTGAAAAACGACATAATTTTGATATAATTTTTGGCCAGGGGGATGGACAATCCCCACACCTCTCACTCCCCATTAGTCTTGCTCAAAGACTGTATCCATCCCCCGTCACCTTCACTCTCTTTACCTGGCAATATACAGGAGTACGGGGTCTTTTAAGCAAGACTAACACCCCCCATCAAAAATAGGCGTTATGATTGCAAGGTGATTCTCCTTTCGTTTTTAGGTTGATGTTCGGGTTCATGACTGTAACAGCATTCCTGTCCATGTGGATCAGTAATACGGCAACTACTGCAATGATGGTGCCGATCGTCCAAGCCGTACTTCTTCAGTTAAATGAAGGTCAGGACGATGACGTTGAAGGAAGTGGGGAGCTAGACAATGAACTCGAAGGTATACATGTACACGGGGCGGTATTTGTGAATCACGTATTGAAGCAATGTTAATGAAATACAATTTTAGGCTAAACGATAAAGAGTATGTTCAAAATAATTACTTTAATTGCCGGTTATACCAGGCAATGATGACTGCATTGTTATTTAATGTTAAAGGCAATGGAAATGATAAATGGCATTCATATTTTGGTGATGCATAAGTCAATGGGCCTGTCGACTATCTAGGTCTTTTGATAACAAAATTTCTATTGCCCGAAAGCAAGGGATTAATTCATTTATAAAACTATTCCAATAACCTTTATATCTTCTGCTTATGTCACCATGTCATGTAATTGTTATGAGTTGCCGCGATAGAAAATAGTTTTTCATCTAATTTCTCAACCTCGTTGTATTTTAATCATTTTGATATAAAACTTATTAATTATGTATGATCGTATGTAAATAACTTACCACTATAAATAACAAATAAAAACAAACAAACATTTCAATTTTAGGAACTACAAATATCGCATATATTGCCGATGAACGGAAATCAACTTCTAGTTCCTATTATGGTAAGTCACGTGAGAAGGTCAAGAATCATGTGACTATATTAAGCTAACCTTATTGGCTGAATATGATCACGTGGTTTGCACGGAGTGAGCGCATTGCAGAGCATGTTAATTGTAGTTAGCTTTTAACGATCAGTTTTAGGGCCCCAGAGCTACTTCAAAAAGAACATAAATCACTTTGTGAGAAATGGCAATGAAAAGGAGGAAATATTTTTGAAACCCTTGCAAAATGTCATCATCATTTGGTATACTCAGTACTATGTAATAAATAAATTGAAATTTTTGATCATTTTTTTTTCAATCGAAGCACCGGAGACAGGGTTAACCTTGAATCTGGGATCATGGCTAGGGGGAAGAATAAAAGTCCACGTTTTCTATAATAAGAACAATTTATGCCTGGGTCACATTTGCCCCGATTCATTGGCCGGCGCCCGGCCGATTGAGTACTCTGTTCACAACTAAATACAGGATATTCAATCGGCCGGGTGCCGGCCAATGAATCGGAGCAAATGTGACCCAGGCATTACTTATAAGTGATTGAGCCAAGGGGCCCCTTTTGTGTGAAATAATACAATATAATCAACTCCGAGCAATTTGTTCACTGTTGTCGTGCTCAAAAGCACCGAAAGAACTGCTACGGAGACGTTTTATAGCATGCATGAGTGAATCAACGTTGTGTGCATGATAATAACCTTGCGTTCTGGTCCATGGTATGACTTCCGAATATGAAGGATCCGTAGTACACTCTAGCGCAGCAACATTTGAAGCAATATTTATGAAGGTGTTCATGTCTTGATTCTTTTAAAATACCATTTGCTGAAAAAACTTCCGGCTTTCGGGTCGAAAAATGTCTTTCATCACAAGGGGTCAAAAAACGAAAATATTTTGATTCGAACTTTTATACATTTTATAAGACACAGACCGTTATTCTTAGCATACGAACAAAAATAAATTATCATAATTTAAAAATATTCTATTTAATTTTACCGTAGATGTCGGTTTTTAATTAGTGTAATTATGCAAGTGTGTTTTTCAGATTTTGTTTGATTTTTCAAATATGAGCCAAGCCGATTCAACAAAATTATGTGGAATATTTAGGTAATTTATGATTGGGAACATATTAGTTTTCTTACCATTTAAAACATTTTATTACCAGAATTTTTCCATATAATCGCAAAGGGTCTAACAACAAATTATTGTTCATGTTTTACAAAACATAAATAAATACAATAACAAATAGGTAAGATTTATATCTAATTAAATGTTACAGAGGTATTGGAATGTTCATATATTCCAAGGGCATGTCTAATAATCAATTAGAGTCATATGCAATCGAACGCCCTGAAATTCTTTCTCGATGTTACTTGTGGCTATCATCAAGTTTTCTGATGGCTGTTTGTTTTTTGACCTTACCGCTGGATACAATTAGATTTTAGGAAGATAATGATAACGATTTTTCTCAATTATTCATGAATTCGATCAAGTCTTGATGGTTGTTTTATAAGCAACTGAGCTATATCTAACTACGGGAAATAGAATTTTAGTGTAGTCCCAATTAGTCAAGGAAGAGCAATAGGCCCGCCTTTATTGATAATTATCACCGCTGAATAAAGGTTCATATCTCAAAACGTATTGAGACCCCTTTGTAAAAAAAACTAGCATCATTTAAACATTTGTCATTCCAATATAAAAGTGATTCATTTGTAGCATTTATCTTATTAATACATAAGAAACAATACAAAACGTCGATACACTGATTACATATTTTTGGGTATTGAAAAGAAAAATAACCTCAAACTTATAGCTTAGAAACATAAATCATATATATAAAATCATTTTTTATCATTTTCTGTTGCATTGTGTACTCCAAATTGTGAAAAATTGGGATTTTATTTTTTGGTGATTTTTTGACCTCTGTTAATGGCAGGCATAATTCAGCCTAAAAGCCGGAAGTATATTGAACGGTTATAATAAAAATTATTAGGGGACATGTGTAGGTATGTTAATGTAAGGTCAAATATCGCTGCGCTACAGTGTGCTACCAACTCCTTTATTAGACGTCCTAGAGATTTCATACCATGGACTATTCTGATCATGTTTGCCTTACCCCCCTATCACACCAAACTAGTTCTTACCCGTTCTTGCCAGTCCTACGAAAATGTCATAAAACGGGCTCAATCTGGCTGCGGTCGGGATATATGTCTAAAATAATTAGCTACTTCGTTCATAAACAGTCTTCAATACGTCCACCTCATTCGCAGTTCGTTCAGGTCGCACCACGTCGGTGTGCAACGTAGTGTAAACCGTCCCTTAGACTAGAAGGTCATCATGACCTGATTACAGAACGGTATGGTCGCCATCGAATTTTGAATCGATTCAAAATTCTAAATCACATACCCCGTCCGGGAAAGTCCATGAAGTTCGTAAACAGACCGTAAAACGTTGTAGCTACGTTCATTCAGTTCGCACACAGTTTAAAACCGATTCGGCAACGTTTTGACGATCACCAGAAAATTTTGAGCATGCTCTAAATGCTGGAGGACCTACTCGTTCTAGTAGTTTCATGAAGTTTGTAAACAGATCCCGAACGGTTCATAGTTGGTTCTTAGTACGTTAAATCCGTTCGTGCACAGTTTGAGCCCGTTTTCGAGAACGTAGTGAGAACTAGTTTGGTGTGATAGTAGGGTTATGCCTTGGTCACATTTGCTCCGATTTTCACTACGGCGCCCGGCCGATTGAGTATTTTGTTCAAAATACAATTTTAAACAAAATACTCAACCGCCGGGGCGCCGTAGTGAAAATATCACGGGGTTGCCTAGGTTCTGTGCTAAACATTTCAGATCCAAAAATGTTAAGTGTTTTAACTGTCAAATGCGACTTATTTAAAAGTTAACATAATTAATAACATATTTAGCATTTTTTGTGCGCATGCGCATTTAGAGGACAAAGTTAACGGCATTGATGCTAGCGTAACAGTTGCACAGGGAGTACCAGCTAAAGTTGAGACTAACCACAAAGTTCCATACACTAATACTGCTCAGGAGGTGTTTGAGGATGAACAAGCCGATAAGAAAAAAGGTACTGCATTATACAAGAGCCTACGGACAAAGCTTGTATTCAAATGCAATTTTCGGCTGCCGGTTACCGGATTAAGGCTCAGCTGGAAAGTAACATTTTGGTAAAAATTGCTATACCTGCACATGTTATTTTGTGGTACAAAATTAAGTATGAAGGCATGTGTGTATTTTCTTGCTGTTTTCAGGAAAGTATAATTACACTGTCTACTTTTAGTAAACCTGGAAACAGGTCAATGGTAGCTCCTGTGTTGTCTGAAAACTTTGAAAGAAAATTTGGAAAAATAGAAAGTATGAAATATCAGAATTTCCTGGAGTTCCCATTGAACTCCTACCAGATATTCTAAAAGAAGACAATGTAATGATACTTTCCTGAAAAAGCAAGGAAATTAACACATGCCTTCATACTTTATTTTGTACGAGAAAATAACATGTGCAGGTATGGCAATCTTTTATCAAAATTTTATTTTCCAGCTGTACCTTAACCTATTGTTTTATGACCAACTAATCTAAATATGGATCGAATCCCTTGTATTGGCAGGTACTTATTCATATTTAAATGAGTTGACCATAAATATTAGGTTCATCTGGTAGCCGGCAGCGGGAAGTTGTATTCGCGAATACAAGCTTAGTGACTGGTCCTGAATGTCGATCAAACCAAAAACCACCGATATACCCCCCCTGATTATGGCCGCCTGATGGCGAGTGAGATTTGAGCAGAAATCTAATGATGAATAAGTTTTTAAAAAAGGAGTCCAATATATGGCCAAAAATAAGTTTCTTGTCACTCTGATTACGTTGTGTTTTTTAACTTGAAATGTGCCCCCTTGTTAGCTTCCGGATCCGCCTGTGTACAATGTATGTTTGTGGGCGGATGGTGGTATTAACATAGGATTGGTGTGCTATTCTTAACAATTACACTCCCCTCCAAAATTTTGGCAACAAGTGTCGTTTTCAGCAGAAATATTAAAGTCAGTTTATATTTCGAAATTAAAAAAAATTGTCCTCGAACTTGTCCTCAATTTCCGATCCTACGTAATTTAGGAAAATGTTCAGAAATGAACAGGCTTTAACGGCCCCATGTAAAGTTTGAAAACATAGTTTAATCATTTAAATAGGGAGAGTGAGGGTACAAGGGCGCAAAGTTGTCTCTCCTTCCTCAAATCCTCGCTACACCCAAGGGTTGCCAAATCTTTGAAAGGATTGTAGTAGTTTTGCACGTAACCTTTAATTATGTGTACCGTATTAGTCTCCTTAATTAAAGGGACGTATTATGTGTATTATTTTAGACGAATTAGATGGAAGGGGCAAGTATGGTTCTATAGGGAAAGATGCCATTGACTTGGAACTTAAAGAAATCGAGTTTACAGACAGGTATAGGTCGGACAAAATGTTTGTTTTAGACACCTTGACAATAGATAACCGAACAAATAGACAATTTGATATTAATATAATCTTTTCTAAATGAATATATACTTATTGATTCAGAGGTCCACGATTTTGATTATGCCAATCGGTAATCATCGTCAAAGTTCGGCTTTGACGAGAATTAATTTTCCCGCCAAGGTTTTGTCTAATCACACTTCCTTCAATGTCCAACAGGTCAATATTCAATTTTTTGATAATCGGCCTCATCAAGACTGTTCCAATTCCAGTGTGAATACCGTGACGGCAAAACAGAGCAAAGAGGAAGCGCAGAATTATCAGAAAGTGTGCAAGGGTCTCACGATGTGCATTTGCTACGCGGCAAATATAGGTGGCATGGCGACTCTTACCGGAACCGGACCAAATCTTGTCCTAAGCGGGCAAGCCGGAACGTAAGTAACACCTCCCACCAATGGTTTGAGGACTATTACTCCCATTGGACTGCATGTTAAACCTGTTTATGTTTTGATCGGAAAAATAATGTATGTTGCAAATAATTTTTGGATTGCCTAATATAAACTGGGTTTTACATGTGCGGTTTTTGTGAGTTGGTGGTTGTAGAATTGACTACATGTAGTTTTGCACCAAATTCAATTATAGTTTTGCATAATGGGCTATTCTTGCGGTTGGATGAACGTGGAAAATTTTGAATCAACACAACAAAAATGCAAAAATGCAATCATGATTTTAAAAGCAGTGTTAATAAACTGGTATGCAGTGTAGATCTTTTTATTTATTTGAATTAATTGTTTTTATCCCTACCCTTATATTCAAAGGATAGTCGTAATAATCAATACTCTCTGAATAGATCAACGATACTAATGATAAAGGATTTAAGCCCTTGGCTCAGTGCATTGTTTGCTGAATCATACCACTGAAATTGTTGTTTCCAAACCTTTGCATGACCGCGCAAGAGTATAATGAAAAAGCTATAATGCATTGAGTCTTCGGCTTAAATTCTTTTCTCTAAAATCATCTAAAAGGAATAAAATCACTTAATGACACATTTTCAATTTGCGAGGGTCAAGTTGGCAATTCATCAAATCAAATGTGAAAAATCCATTCATCACCATGACAACTGTTTAACTAGTCACCTTGGATGTGTCATTGATTAGTTCACACACTGTTCACGATGTGAATACTCTGTTCGGATTGGCTGGAATCGGACACACCTTACCTAGCTATGTGTGAATAGGTTTTAATGATCACAAATGTAACTACGCATAATTACACACATAGGTTCTGGGCCAATATAAAGATGGCAGCACCAACAGAATCCAGTATTATATTTTATAAATAGACACAGATCGATAACCATGCCATCTTTATTTAAAAATTATTCCTATCGGCCTTTGCCTATGATTACACAATAAAACCTGTAAATCCAACCAACTCTCATTTCTGAATGTGAACACCTTTCTCAGTCCCTGTATTGTTATCTCCCACATACTTACATAATAAGCATGCCTAGAAATGCGAACACTTTTTGCCGATCCCAATGGAATTTGGATAAGATTTCACACGTTTAACTCTGACTATCAACAGATGGAGCCTTGACTACTGAAAAGAGTATTTAATTCCAATCTAAATTATTTTAGGTTATTCGGAGACGAGGCTGGGATTAACTTCAGTTCCTGGTTCATCTTTGCCTTCCCTACCATGATCATTTGCCTCTTCATCGCCTGGGTTTGGCTTCAGTTGCTCTTCTTGGGCTGGAGGTACGTCCAATTAGAAAATAGTTATCATTAAAATGGTCATTCGCATGGTTAGAATTTTGAAGATTTTTTTATGATTGCAATTGCCATAACCAATGACTTATAATATGATATAGGTAATATTTTTTTCATTTTCACGTGGATATTTACACATTAATGTAATGCGTCGTACAAAATCAAATTTAATTTAGTTGTTTGCGTTCTACAAACCAAGCTTAACTCAAATTCTTAATTTGGGACAAAGTTATTTGAATACCTTCCGATATGTCAAAATAACCCTCATCCTCTATATACCAGCACGTTATTTCAATATGTACGAGGACAATACACCCCAAATTTATTCATTACAATGTGCAGTTATGGCAGTTATATGGTAATGTGCAGTTTATGTTCTAATATCCCAAATGGGTAGATAAATATCGATTATGCACAACTAGTTTTAATTATAAGTACAGTGATATTGCATTCTAGGGAAATGTTTGGCTGTTGTCTCCGAAGAAATGATCCAAACGCCAACGCCAAGGAAAAGAGAGTAAAAAAGGTTATAAGACAAACTTACGATGAAATGGGACCAATGTCGTAAGTTAATGTTAATTTCACATCTGCACAAGTAATAATCTACTACTAAATTATAATATTTATCAGCTTTTCTCGTTATAGACCCTCTCACTGATGTCACCCGCTTCACTCTATAGATTTTATCAGAATATATGCCAATACTAAATCTGGCTAGTCACCAGGGTACGATATTATCGTTTGAACTCCCGTGAATTGGTCCTGGATTGTGATATTGGTTCTCGATTGGAGGGGGAGGTGGATGTTAGACATTGTTTCTTTTTACGTTAGATCATGGTTTTGGGATATATAGGGTCTACTTTTCTTATGACAGATTTACACTTACAGTTTTCTTTTCTTGTTGGGTTTCTTTAAAGTTTTTACTTACCCTTCCCTTTGGCATTTGCGCTTATATATTCGGAACATGTGGACAACTAGTATTGCCACGGAAACTGACTAAAACTGACACGAAAACTAAAGCAAAAGTGAAAAATTCAGCCACCGATTTGCTTCTTATGTTCTGTAAATCACTGTGGCTAGTCGATCTATTAGGTAGCGATCTGAGGCACTTCGATCAGGGTGTTGTCGGGACAATTTCTCTTGTGACTTATGTTATGTATTTAGGTCTATCTCAACAGATTTTACTGGTCTTATGCGCCGCAAATGGTGCGAAAGATGTTAAAATTGCATTTTTGACCCTAAAATTCAGATTTCTTAGGGGTACATTATTATCTAGCTATAAAACAAAAACTAAACAACCAATGCTTCTTTCTTTTGGTGTTTCTGTTAAGAGTAATCATACTTACAATGCATATGTAAAAAAATTGAAGAATTTTAACTTTATTTAAAAACAGCAACATTTTTTCACCCTAAAATCATAGAATTTCGAGGGGTTGAGAGACACTGATTGGTATTGATTTTTTAATTTCTCAATCAATCTTTGTTTAATATTAATGGAACTTTCCTAAAAGTAGCACCAACATGTCCCCAACACATTACAATAAAGAAAAAACTCAAACTCTAACATGTTTTTTGCCTATAGGGGTCAATTTACCTCTCCCCTCTTTCCCTTTTTAGAAGGGCATGGCCATATTGGCATGTTCATCTAAAAATAAATACTTCATGTTCATATCCATCCTCCGATCACAGGGCTTCAAAATCCAGAACATATTCTTTCTTTTTACCCCCAGCGATAAGCAGTTACCATTTCCCCGATTAAGAACTCGCAATCTGATTGGCTGTCGCAACACTGCGACAGAAATCATGTATAAGTCATTGTGCATAATTAGATCACGTGATTCAGTTAAACCAGGCGCGTCCAAATTGGTTATTGCAGGGGGAAGGAGGTACGGATTCTGGACACCTGCTTAGGAGAATGGTTCATATCGGGTTATCATTTTTATGTCACCAACAAAAAGTGGTGACATATTGTTATGGTCTCTGTTCTTTTTTGACGGTGGTCGGCGGTTTGTGGTTGGTGGTCGGCAATTGGGGTCTGAAACAAATTCTTACAATTTCCAATAATTAACAAATACTGTATAGACTGACTTCAATTGTTTTCAAAATCATCTACATGTTTTCAGATGTTCAAATCTGTCTTTATATTTAAGATTTGACTTTCAATGACCTTTTCAAGGTCAGAAAAGGTATTTTTTCAACTTGCTTCAAATTAACCATTTTTTTCAAAATCATCAGTTATCGGAAGTTCAAATCTGACTTAAGGTTTGAGATTTGACCTTCAATGACCTTCTTAAGAATATAGATTTGATCATTAAATGACATACTAAAGGACAAAATAGATTTGACCTTTAGTGACCTCCTCAAGGTCAAAAAAGTATTTTTTATCTTGTTTCAACTAGGTGGTGACATTTTGTCATGTTAATGCCTTGTTTTACTTGTAGCTAGTGAATGTCTTTGAAATGACATAAGCCTAATACAGGGGGACCTGTGTTAGTGAACACCTTTCTCTAGTGAACACCTGTGTAAAATGAACACCCTATTTTCAGCACATACCTTGATTCCAATACAAATTGTCTTTCTGTATTACCAATAGTGAACACATTTTTTGCAAAACACCTTTATATTTAACTTTAATTGATAAACTGATCATCTAATTGCAATTATAAATTGCTATCCATTATTTGCAGGGAACATGTAGCAAAACAATAAGGGAGAATAGTAAGCTATTCAAGGCTTATTATTATTGTCTGATGTTCTATTATTAATTAATTTGATTGATTCAATTGATGGCTTTCTCAATCCATTCCAAATTGAGGATAATGATCATTTATACTGCATATCATCTGGAATGCCAACACCCTCTAATTTAGCAGATGATCTCTTAAATGCAGCAACCAAGGGCACACAAGCCTTTAAGCAATTTATTCAAGACAAATTCGTGCAGAAGGGAAAAGGTTTTCATGACCCCAAAAAAGAATGAAACTGAAAACATCTGAATTCAATGCTGGAGTCAAAAAGGTGAAAAGCTCTGGAAACAAACTGATTGAGATTAGAGCTGAGTGCAATATATTTGGCCAGTTAGTCATGTTATCAGAGCAGCATAGTATCAGTCTAAAGTGAATATTGGAATATCCCCTGAGTCCAATACCCTGGGCTCTTTGAACACCTGATGGGCACTTGGTTAAAACAGAAAAGTCAAAATTATTACATGAGCTGGAAACATATATTACATATTACATATAAGAAAGATTCAATTAAAGAACCAGGAAGAATATGCAGGCGTGTCTCCAAAAAGCTAATAATAAAAGGACCTAATACCAGGATTCCTAACAATTGGAAGGAATTCCTTTTAAATGATGAGAATGAAATGCAGCTGAGTCAGTTGATCCTTGAAGAATGGAAAAAGATAAAAATGCTCCTAAATTCAAAGAAAGACAGATTCATGTGGTGAGATCTGTACAGTGTACCAGTCTGAAATCTTCCCACAAAGAGGCAGATACAAAAATTATACTCCATGCAATTAATATGAAATGAACCTGAAAATACAGAAAAAAAACTATAGTTGTGAGATCCCCAGATAGCGATGTTTTTTTGTACTTCTTGTGCACTTTCTAATCTTATTCAAACTCCATTAATTTTCGACACTGGTAGTGCAGACCACATATAACTTATTAAAGGTGCAACAATTAGTGCAGGGGGGTAATTCAACGATCATCGACCAGTGTCAAAATATATTTAAGTTTGGATATTTCATCAAGACTAACATATATTTTTATTATCTACAAAGAAACCCCCTGGATGAACATAATTTCAGCTGATATTCCTCTTGAAACGTGGTGAATCTTAAAAATCAAATATAGAAGCTTTGAACTGAATTTACACTTCTAAATTGAGAGTTTATCCATGCATTTTCAGAAAATAGGTATGTCAAAGAAGATGTTAAGCCAAATATTGACCTGATAGCTCAGAAAAAAGAAAAAAATTCAAATTTTCTCTCTACAGTCCTTGTTGCCCCTTTAATGTAAAGGAAGTAGGAAATGCGCTCAGTTCAGACATTTGTAAATTTGTAATGCTTTACCAGCCTTCCATTCATTCACTGGATGTGTTTCCTTCAGTGCCTTTGTGAGAAGGGGGAAAGTGTCCCCCCCCCTAAAATTACTTATGAGATCTGTAGAATTTCAAAAAGGTTTCGGCACCATTGGAGGAGTCATTAGTGATCAAACTGCTAAATGTGCTGAGAAGTTTACTTGCCAGATGTATGGAAACAAAAAGTGTTCAAATATAAATGAGCTGAGATATACCTTATTCGAGAACAAATTCCAACCAAAATCTGCTCCAAGTGTGATAACAAGCTATGAAGGCACTGACATAAGCCTCCTACCCCCATGTAAAGATTCATTACAGCAGCATCTGGCAAGGGCCAGTTATCAAGCACACATAAGGAAACTTGCCCACATCCCCTCCCCATCAATTCCCTCCCCTGTGTCACATGGATGGAGGATGAAAGATGGCCATTTTGATTTCAATGAGTGTCAAATCCAGATAAAATTCTACCCCAGGACCTGGTAGATGTTATTGTATTAGATGATACTTTAGAAGATCAAAATGAAGAGGAAGTTTATGAAATACAAAGCTTTGTGGATGAAATATATTCTGGTGAATAAAAACTACATTTGTGATGACAGAAATTCATACAATGAGTAAAATTAATATTATGACTGAGTCATGAACTGTGTATTAGATAATATTCAACTTCAGATTTTTAATATTCCTATATCTTGAGCCTACATAGAATAAATATTGTATTATAAATAATTCACAGGTATGTACTATATGTATACACCTAAGTGAAAATATTTTATGGTAATATATTTGATAAAATATATGATATGTACATGTATTCATTTAATGTGACATCATGCTAATGTTTAAATCCACATGTATTAATGGCAACATCCCTTTTATAAGGGAAAGAGGGGAGAGGTAAATTGACTCTTATAGATAAAAACATCAGAGTTTGAGTTTTTCTTTATGGGTATATGCTGGGGACATGTTGATGCTATTTTTTGGAAAGTTTCATTAATATTAAACAAAGATTGATTGAGAAATTAAAACATTAATTCTGATCAGTGTCTGTCTACCCCCCTAAATTCGATGATTTTAGGGTGAAAAAATGTTGTTGTTTTTAAATTAAGTTAAAATTCTTCAATTTTTTTACATATGCATTTTAAATATAATTACTCTTAACAGAAACACTAAGAGAAAGAAGCATTGGTTGTTTAGTTTTTGTTTTATAGCTAAATAATAATGTACCCCTAAGAAATCTGAATTTTAGGGTCGAAAATGCAATTTTAACATCTTTCGCACCATTTGCGGCGCATAAGACCAGTAAAATCTGTTGAGATAGACCTAAATTCATAACCTAAGTCACAAGAGAAATTGTCCCGACAACACCCTGATCGAAGTGCCTCAGATCGCTACCTATATGTGGATGCAGTCAGGTACATGTTATGTCTCGTGGAAGAATTTTGCACTTCTGTTTAAATAATCTATATTTACTCATCCGTGTATATCATACTTCATTGATTTACAAAACCAAAGCTACGCTATAAACACACATTCTCTGATATTTTTACGAAGAATAGATAACTCAAACGAGTTCACTCGACCAGTTTTATCACCTCGCTCATAGCTGTGAGAAGGTATGTATAATTTGCCATAGGTTTACCTTATAATGGGGAATAAAAAATTCAAGTAATATAATTATTTCACGTACACAAATATTTCTGTGTGAAGTAAAACACAAATACAATGCGTTTTATTACATGTTTTGGGTTATGGTTTGAAATATCCGCTTTAAAAAAACAATTTAATTATGATGTATCATGTGGATTGGTAGACGTTCTTATTGGATTCAATGAATAGACTGGCTAGGTTTCAATATACCTATACGCGCTAACTTTTAACGTACGAAATATTCTTATCTCCGCGTTGGAGAGTTCAGTTTCGTGGTACAACTTTCTCAACATCCGGGCACTTTCCCATTGGAATAACATTGGCTGTGTTTTTCAATGACGCATTGTGACTTTATTAGAGGTTTATCATGAATTTTATTTGCACATACGATAGGTATGATCATTATAAAGACATTTGACAAGTTTTTAAAAAATATATTCACCAGAATCGTCAAAATCCTAAGTTTAAAATTCAAGTGACGTCACAGATTTCCCGGAAGTTGCTCAGTTCCCGGAACTTGCTCAGACGCCATAGAAAAAATAATCGAAGCAAACTGAATTTCCATCTTCTTTTCTAATTATTGTCTGGATTATAGAATATTATTATACATATGTACTAATGTTGGATCGGGATAATGCCTATGACGTTGTGTTTTGCGGACCAATAGAAAATTGTCCATTTTATCGTGTTGCATTGCGGGAAATATTTATGTTAATGACCAGTAATTTCCTAACGCGAATAGGACTATTGAATCATTTTGAATGTGTGTATTTTTAATATTTTAATCCACAGTGTCCAAAAACAATATTAATGCTAATTGGTAATTGGGAAGATTCCACTTACCACGATTTCAAAAAAATGTAAATAGATAATATAATTCTTGAATTTGGGTCATTTGTTTCAAGGAATCTGTAGGCTCGTTCAGCTAAAAAAAAGTAAACTACCCATCTAGGACTTGAAATTCAATGATCTGATCGAGTGTTTCTTGAGAGTTACAATATATTATGTTATTAAATGTGCAGTGGAATGTAAACAGCCATTAATACTCGTCTAAATGAAATCATGCAATAGGATAGTTTCTAAATAGCAGAAAAATCAATGAAATCTCGTGCTGCCATCTTTTATTCAGCTTTTAACTCTGGCTAGAGCTCCATTCACTTACATGCTAAAATCTTGGAAAAGTGGCTTAATTTCATGATTTATCAAAGTGTGTTTGTTGAATCTGTATAAAATGATATACCACATGATGACCCTGTTTATGAACATGTTGTGATTAAACATGCTAATGTTGATTGACATACAAATAATCCACGGTTTTAAAGAATTTTAGCATTGCATCTATGGACATTTGGCCCAACTTTTTTTAAATTGTCATAGAAAATTATTCAAATTACATAACTGTGTAAATCAAAGCTATTTTAAGAGAAAACATTCCACTGAATTCAAATATACCATTTAAAAGAAGGTAATGTAAGTCATTAGAGGTCTAATATGCAAGTCTCTTAAAATCTCACGAAAAACGAGATTTAGCGAGATTTCAAAAGCTATATGGAAACTATACTATTCAATGTTGATTCAAAATCAAAACTGAATTTGCGATGGAAATGCATGAAGACCTAGTTCGGCAATGTAGGGCCATCGTTGATTGGTCAAATTTTACCGACAAAAACATTGGGTCGGTAAAGCACGCGGCTTTCTCTAGGGTACAAGGCGGTCATAATAGAAATCAAGATAAGTAAAGGAGACCGACTTGGGCAAGGCTATGAAATTTGATTTGTTGGTATTCCAGTGGGCTGATGGGTCTTTTGCTCTGAATTCACTTCATTGGCGTACCTAATTTCAACATTTTCATTGTCATCATTACATGTTATGGACAAGTTTTTCAAATTAACAGTATTATGGATAAAACCATAGTTTTTTCATCTGTAATGGCATTTTCCAGTTGATGGGTTTATATTTAGTATTTCAATTTTTTATGAGGGTGTCTTGTAATGAGGTGGCTAATTACTTTACTGAATGAGGAATGTTTATCCAAACAATGGATACAAAGAAAACCTGGCCAGTTGTCCATCAGTAAATAAATCATCATGATAAAATATAATTTATTATAGCATCCATTTGTTACCGTTCTGAATCCAAATGATACATAGTGGCATCCATTTTATACATATATGTTGACGTTTACGAAATGTTTTTCAAATAACTTCCCTATAACAGAAATATGGTAGCTGAAACTTTCACACATTGTCATACTATGTATATTGAATATGTATGCAAGATTTCAAGTCACAATGTTAGTAGAAACTTTGAGATCATTTACCTCGATTTGCTGTCATATTTTTGCAATGATCCCATTCCCTATAATGTACGCGAGCACCCACGATACATTGCATATAAATGACTGCATCCACATAGATCGACTAGCCACAGTGTAAATATTTATTTTTCGTTTTCATTTTAGGTTTGCAGAGATCGGAGTCCTCTGCCATTTCATATTACTAGCTCTACTATGGCTTACAAGAAATCCACAGTTCATAGACGGTTGGGGCTCACTCTTCCCCAAAGGGTTAGTACACTCAGACCTCTTTCTTCCCCAAGTTTGGCGTCTGAAAGTCTATGTACATATTTGAATCTCAACTCTGGTCCATAATATAATGATTCATGACATATTTTTCAAAATCCCAGCAACACAAGCTTAAAAGCATCTAGAGAAAAAACGGCACCTCCAGTCATCAAACCTTATTTAGGGAGTGTATGAGACAATATGGTGACATTTGTATTTGTATTTGAAGGATCCAAATGCTTCAAAATCATTTTGACGCTTTGTTCGCTATTTTAATGCAATGTCAATCTGACATTGCATCAACAAAGCGAACAGAACCAGACATAATACAAAAGTGTAATGTTGCTGCCTTTAGCATCCACTGACTGTACATACCTTATTCTATTACCTCTGTAGGTTTGTGACCGATGCATCTACAGGGATCACAGTTGCAGTACTTCTCTTCATCTTTCCCTCCAAAAAGCCAACGTTTCTCTGCTGCAAACCTAAAAATGGTAGGTATTTCGTTAGGTTTTAAGGCCAATTAAATAATGGTAGGCCGATCCCTTGCCCATTCAGATAAGTTGATCAAAATTCATTAACAGATTTTTATGTCTTCATAAGCAGCTACTATCAATTTGGTATTCAAACTCTAATGAAAGTCAGTGACAGATAATGACTAAAATCGTATCAACACCAATATTGTAAATTGTCTTTCCTTGCGAGAGGGCTATAATTCCTACTAACGTCTGTTCTTCACCAAGTCAAACATAACAAATAAAGCACTCCATTACTTTCAGATCCAAACGCTCCTAGGCCTGTTCCCGCTCTCCTCGACTGGGCCACTGTGCAGGAGAAGTTCCCCTGGAATATTATACTCATTTTAGGGGGATCATTCGCACTAGCTGCAGCGTGCAAGGTAAGACACAAGGCCTAAAAAGCTTATTTTAGAAATCATACAAGCTAACTACGCAGCTGTCAAAACGCAGTTGAGTAAGTTGAGTAAACGTGAATCAAAATTAACCCTAATTAATGTCCTAGGTTTGAATATACCAATAGAAAGCAGAAAAAATGTCAAAATAAGGACCTGATAAAAACGGAGGGCTAAAAATTAAAAGGGGCCAAAAATTACAGACATAAAAGGAAGTGTACTGAATTGTAGTGACCCATGCGGCAATCAAACCCAGGAGCTTTCAGATGCACTACCCCGAGCTATCAAAACTTAGGCTGTCATACTTTAGCTACCCAGGGTCGTTACACTATTGTTTACAAAGTGTGACTACCTCGTGCCTGATAATTTATACAGGTTTTTCATAAAGTCTCTTTACACTTGACGCAAACTCCGTATTGTAATTGTAGAGCATTTATGGACACCCTGTATAGTATCCCTCTTATGCGCGACTACAGGCTATCAAAAGGTAACTCCAAAGGAGAGTGTTATAAATTCAATCAAAACTAGAACTTTCCAAACGCTAAACCTTGCACTTGCTTTTTTGTTATAGGAATCAGGACTATCAGCGTGGCTTGGAGGCCAGATGGAAGGACTAAAGGACGTCCCCACGGTTGTATTTGTACTGCTCCTTTGTGTAATAGTGGCTACGTTTACAGAGGTGACGAGTAACACGGCGGCTGCTTCAATATTTCTCCCAATACTTGCAGAATTAGTAAGTATATCCAAGCCCGTAGCCAGCTTTTGCTAAGAAATTATCACTTTTTTAAATAATCCAAGGGGCCTCAAATTTGACAGTTTCGGCCCAAATTCTCTTTAAAGTTGCTAAGAATGGTGAAAACCGCATGATTTTGAAAGAATTTTCGGCCGGGTGGGTGTTTGAACGTTTTGCGCTTTTACCATTGTGCCAACTATTGTAAGATAACATCAATTAAATGTAAGTAGATGGAAACATTCTATCCAATCTAGCGTCATAGTTGCCATACTATTTGAGGGGGTGTATTTTATATGATCTCGTCAGATATCCCGCCCCTTGCATTTCTTATCCTCAATATAGACAAGTCTTTGGTTGCATTATTTAAGGCACTTGTAAACCCTTTTTATTTAAAAACTGCCAAAGATCCCATTTCAGAGACAATTGAAAAATTTCAATCCTGCATACCCAGCAAAAATATTGAGAAAATATATTACTATGCATTATTTAGAGTTTAAAATGTGGAATCTTTTGGCCCATCCTGGAGATCTTGGGATAAAATCGTTAAAATTTTTGACAACTTTATAAACTGTCAATATCTTGTTTTAATCTGAGTTATTTACTATCAACTATTATTTCTTCCAGGGAGTCAGTATCAACGTTCATCCATTGCTGTTTATGATACCAGCAACACTAGCATGTTCCTTCGCCTTTATGCTCCCTGTAGCTACACCACCTAATGCAATCGTGTTTACATATGGTCATCTTAGGATCATTGATATGGTAAGTGAATGTAGTCCTACTACACTACCCAATGCAATCGTGTTAACGTATGATCATCTTAGGATCATTGGTCATTGATATTTATTAGCTTTGTATAAGATTTCCAAATATGAAACCTCCTAAACACCATTTCACTTTATTTTTTCAGGTGAAGACCGGTATAGCCATGAATATATTCTGTGTACTCATCGTAACATTCAGTATAACTACATACGGCACGGCATTCTTCAAACTGGACACTTTCCCAGATTGGGCAATGCGAGATCCAGTTGCTAATACAACAATCATGCCATGTGTTACTATGGTAGCATAATGCATACGGCACTGCATTCTTCAATTATGTTGCGCTGTTGCTAATACAACAATCATGCCATGTGTTACTGTGGCAGCATAATGCATACGGCACTGCATTCTTCAAACTTGACACTTTACCACATTGGGCAATGCCAGACCTAGTTACTAATACGTTGCTAATATTGTAATAGTTGTAATACTTGTAATAGTTGCTAATATTGTAAATTGTATGTCGGATGTACGTTTGGCCCTAAAAGGGCATCAGTACTAATAAAATCCTATTATTATTACAGAACAACAATTATGCCATGTGTTACTATGGCATCATAACTTTATACGGCACTGTATTCTTCAAATTGGACACTCTCGCAGCTTGGGCAATGCCAGACCCAGTTGCTAATACAACAATCATGCCTTGTGTTACTATGGTAGCATAAATACTTACGTCACTGAATTCATCAAACTTGACACTTTACCACATTGGGCAATGCCAGACCCAGTTGCTAATACGACAATTATGCCATGTGTTACTATGGCAACATAACTACACGGCACACTATATTCTTCAAATTGGAAACTTTCTCAGATTGGGCAATGTCAGACCAAGTTGCTAATGCAGCAATTATGCCATGTGTTACTATGATAGCATTACAACATACGGCACTGCATTCTTCAAATTGGACACTTTCCCATTTTGGGCATGCCAGACCTAGTGGCTAATACGACAATTATAACATGTTTTAATATGGTCGCTAAATTACATAGGGCATTGCATCCTTACTATTGGACATTTCCCCAGCTTCTTCCAAAACAAGATGTGTCAAAAATTATGATGTACATCCTTTGATCACAGTATCATGTAAAGTCCCTCTAGAAGTAAACAGGAGAAATTGTCTCTAATGATTTCACAGCTGTTTAGCTTTGCATATGCAAGCACAGCAAAGACTAGTTCCCATTCAAGGGGCATTAAATACAGGGCTGACAATATTCTGTAAAATTGACTTAAAAACAGATTGATAGTACACCGTTTTATTCTGAACAACAGCGTGACTTTGTTATCAAAACTTATACTGGTAGTGTGGTACATTCCAAATATACATGTAGAGGGTGGGCCAAAAAATTTTGCAACTTTTTTAAAAGGCTAAAAAGGTATCAAAACATAAGGGTATTGCCATAAAAAATTATTTACAGAAACTTAAGGATAGGCATATTTTACCAGTTAAATGCTAAAGCTAAAACTGGCTTCAAATATTTTTGTCAGATCTTTGAATATCAATGGTCAATTGTTCATGTGTCCGAGATTTACCATTTTTCCTAGAAAATGTGACTTTCTATGATTTTATGTGATCAACAATAACACATTCATAATGTTCACTAAATCTGCTACAATCTTGGATAACTGTTTAAACAATGTCTACCTCAATGTCTAGTTTATATCAGTATCTAGTCACTATATGGTATTATGTTATATTGTATTTAATTATCTATTAAACAAATGTTCTATGCATCCCCTTTCACCTTCCGTATCGTTCCCAGCCATCGGGCAAAAGTCACTTTGGAATATCTGGAGGAGAATAAGCCTTGATTCATTAGTCCTGATGAATGGCTGCCAAATACCCCAGATGCAAACTCCTGTGACTATCACCATTGGGGGCACCTGGAGCAGCTTATTGCAGTTAATGGTAATCCCCCACAAACTATTGTTAAACTAAAAGAAGTTCTGCAGGAGAAGTGGAGAGAACTACTACAAGAATCGCTGGATCGCGCCATTCACCAGTTCTGCCCATGTCTCCTTGTAGAGAAGGTGAAAGGTTGATGCATAAAATTTGTTTAATAAATAATCAATAGATACATAATATCATAGTGACTAGATACTGATATAAACTGTACTAGACATTGGTTGAACAGTTATCCAAGATTGTAACAGATTTAGTTAACATAATGAATGTGTTATTGTTGATCACATAAATGAAACATTGTCTAGGAAAAACGGTAAATCTCGGACACATGAACAATAGACCATTGATATTCATAGATCTGATAAAAAAGATTGAAGTCCAGTTTAGCTTTAGTATTTAAATGGTAATATATGCCTATCCTTAAGATTCTGTAAATCATTTTTTATGGCAATACCCTTATGTTTTGATACTTTTCTAGCCTTTTAAAAAAGTTTCAAATTTTTTTGGCCCACCCTGCACATGCAGAAAATTGTACAAAGTGATTATATTGTTATTTTTACATTCACTATCTCCCCGCATAAGCTTGGCAGCCGGAAGTCTCTTTTTGAATGAATCATTGAAATCTCGTTTGCGTTTGGCGAAAAAATTCGTCATTTTTGTCATTTCCCGAGATATTTCAATTGTGGAACAAAATTAAGATTCTAACATTGTCAGGCGTTGATATGATATACAATGAAAACTCCCAGTTGCCAAACTTACGGAGAGGAGCGCTAATTGCAAGTATCATAGTGCACATGTATTCATAGTAGAAGTTGTTAAAGTGATTTAATGTTCATGTCATTCACAGATGTATGAATAAATAAATCCCAAATAGCCATGTTTTATTAAATTTTGAATGACACAAGACATCGACATAAATGTTACTTGCTAGTGTTCATAATTCATCACCTCGTTTCTTTTGTGTGATAGTTCTATTCCTTGAATAAATAGACACAAATATTACATGCTAGTATTTAAAATTCACCACCTCGTTTCTTTTTTCTTGTTCTTTTACTTGGACATAGACACAAATATTACATGCTAGTATTTAAAATTCACCACCTCGTTTCTTTTTTCTTGTTCTTTTACTTGGACATATAGACACAAATGTAGCGTTCATAAATCACCTCGTTTCTTTTGGTAGGTCTATCACTTGGATATACAGACACAAATGTTACATGCTAGTGTTCATAACCCCATTTCTTGTGTCAGCAAGTCCCACTTCTTGAATATTTAGACACAATTATTACAAGCTATTATAAGTGTTCAGAATTCATCTTCTCGTTTCTTTTAAATGTCAACTAATGTCCATAGTATCTAACCCCATTTATTGTATCTAATAGTTATATCACCTAAACCTATATATACAAATGTTTCATGCTAGTGTTCATAAGTAATCACCACATTTGTTTTACTAAAACTTCAATCACTTGGTCAGTATTATATAAAAATGGTTCATGCTAGTGCTAATAATTCATCACTTGGACATGCAAAGACACAAACGTCACATATGTGCTTATTATTAACAACAGGCCGCGATATCACCATGTCTCCAAACTGATAGATCATCCACTTTGGCACGAACATTCAAAATGTAGTGCTTATAATGCCAGATCCTGTCGTTTCATTTGTCTATAAGTTCCATCACTTGGACATGTAAATACACAAATGTCACTTATATGTCTTTATTATTAACAACAGGCCGCGATTTCACCCTGTTTCCAAACTGATGTATCTACCACTTTGACATGAACATTCAAAGTTTAGTGCTAATAGTGCCGGATCCTGTCGTTTCATTTGTCTATAAGTTCTATCACTTGGACATGTAAAGACACATGTGTCACATATGTCTTTATTATTAACAACAGGCCGCGATATCACCCTGTTTCCAAACTGATGGATCTACCACTTTGACATGAACATTCAAAGTTTAGAACTAATAGTTCCTCAACTGATAGCTCGTCCACATTAGTACGAATATTCAAAGTTTAGTGCTTATCGTGGTCAATGCTGTTGTGTCATTTGCACTGGTATATCATTCTATTTCTAATGTTTGATAGTTCTATCACGTGTCTATCTTGCTTGAGTGTCACCCACCGCCTAGTGACCACCGATTACTCTGTATATTTGACTTATAGCTCTGTCATTTGGTTTGAACATTCAACGTTTAGTGCTTATCGTGGCCAATGTTGCTGTGTCATTTGTATATCATTCTACTTCTAGTGTTTGATAGTTCTATCACGTGTCTATCTTGTTTGAGTGTCACCCACCGCCTAGTGACCACCGATTACTCTGTATATTTGACTTATAGCTCTGTCATTTGGTTTGAACATTCAAAGCTTAGTGCTTATCGTGGCCAATGCTGCTGTGTCATTTGTGTTCCTTGGTGTTGGCGCCGGTTGTGGTTGAGGTGCAGATCTACACTTGCACTTCTTCCATAGCTTGTTCCAAGGAAGTGTGCTAAATGTGTAGAGTATCGGGTTGATAGCGCTGTTGATTGGCAACACATAAATACTTACATAGGCAACAATTTCTCCTGAAATGAATATTAAGGAAAATAAAGTAAAATTTCCTAATGTCCTTGAGGTTATATTGGTTCAATGAAATTTCACTTATTGAATTAAAAGAGAATCACGTCTTTGGTGAAATATGGTTTCGTTGGAAGTCAGATATCATTGATAAGACTTCATGGCATTGGTTCCTTCCCAATGTCCATTGTCCATCTGTGTTTTTATACAGTTTGGTAACTTTAGTTGTAAGTTAGATATCATTGTTTTTTATATCAAACTACATGGTGGAATTTAAATACCGGTACTAGTATTATGATTTGAAAATATCATAGTAATGAGAATTACATAGTAGATGCTTATCCATATTGATATAACGTTAAATACTGAGGTAATACAAGAGCATGTGCAACCAACCTGGGAGCGCTACCTTGTAATAGGTTAGGAATCCCATGATTATTACTGGAACCCAGCAGCAGAAGTCGGTACCCACGATCCACATCAATTTTAACGCCATCCTCCTTTCTTGCTCTTGTCCCGAGCCTTGTTTGGATTTTGATTTAGAGATCATAGTAGCAACAAATATAGCCAAGTAGCCAGCAGCTATAAGAAGAAAGGCGAAAAGATTGACAACATTAAAAAGAGCAAAAGAATACTCCCAACCGTTAAAATGGGAGTAAGTTTGCTGTCTTTGTCTGTTTAAAGCAATGCCGTCCTCCAATCCGGTGCTTTTACGTGCGTTTAACATGGCTTCTTTTGAAGGATCATAA